TAGCGCACTCACACCATAAGGTCTTTTTTTTTTTCTTTTTTTTTTCTTTTTTTTTTGGGTGTGTGAGAGAGATTTTTGAACTTAAAGTACTTAAAATTTGAAAGTTTGTATTTATCTTAAATTTCAGACAGATTTTTGCGGAAAATATCTTTGAAGATGTGTTCAATAGATTCAAAATCCAAAATCCAAAGTCTAATTCTTTGCCATCCAATACCGCTGGTAATAGTAACAATCCGCAGGATAAAGGTAAAACATTCATGAGAATTCTTCTTTTAAGACACATAAAACTTCACTTGCAACTTGGTCTATCTAGTCATGCTTTTTGGTTGGTAAGTTGGTTAAATCTATTCAAACATGTCATGAATGCTGATTTATCTGGTCTAGAGGATTGAGTGACTCAAGGATTGCTGAAAGGCTTGAGGACAAGATATCTACGTGCAACAATTCAGGTAAGTTTGATCCGAGTTCTATATGTTCATCAATTTATACATGAAAAAAAAAAAAAAAAAAAAAAAAAAAAAGGAACCTATTTCCATATATTTCACTTTCTTGTTGTGCTAGCCAATTTCTTCTTTCTTTTCAAATTTCATAAATTTTTTTATCTTTTGCCTCTTATCATACCATGGAGCTTTCCAAGGAAGATTCTCTAACCATTTTGAACCTCGTGATTTTATTAATCTTTTTAGGTCATTCTTTATTTTTTATTTGTTTGTTTAGTTTAATAGCACATTCGCACCATTAGGTCTTTTTTTTTTTTTTTTTTTTTTTTTTGTTTTTTTTTTTTTTTTTTTTGGTGTGTTGAGAGATTTTGGAACTTAAAGCACTATAAAATTTGAAAGTTTGTATATATCTTAAATTTCAGACATATTTTTGCGGAAAATATCTTTGAAGATGTGTTCAAGGGATTCAAATCTCAAAATCCTATTTCTAATTCTTTGCCATCCAATAGCTGGTAATAGCAACAACCCGTCAGATAAAGGTAATAAAATCATAAGAATTCTTCTCTTCAGAAGCAACTTGGTCTATCTATGTCATGCTTTTTGGCTGGTAGAGTTGGTTAAATCTTTCAAACATGTCTGAATGCATGATTTATTTGGTCTAGAGGGATCAATGGACTCAAGGAAATTACTAAGGCTTGAGAACAAGATATATACTACTGCAAACAAGTCAGGTGTTTTGATCTGAGTTCTATATGTTCATCAATTTATACATGAAAAAAAAAAAAAAAAAAAAAAAAAAAAAAAAAAAAAGGAACCTATTCCATATTTTGCACTTCCTTGTTGTGCTAGCCAATATTCTTCTTTCTTTTCAAATTTCATAAATTTTTTATCTTTTGCCTCTATCATACCATGAGCTTTCCAAGGAAGATTCTCTAACCATATTGAACCTTTGTCATTTTATTAAGTTTTTCAGGTCATTTCTTTTATTATTTATTTCTTTGTTTAGTTTAATAGCGCATTTGCACCATTAGATCTTTTTTTTTTTTTTTTTTTTTTTTTTTTTTTTTTGTGTGTGTGAGAGAATTGGAACTAAAGTACTATAGAATTTGAAAGTTTGTATTTATCTAAATTTCAGACAGATTATTTGCGGAAAATATCTTTGAAGATGTGTTCAATGGATTCAAAATCTCAAATCCTATGTCTAATTCTTTGCCATCCATACCGCTGGTATAGCAACAACCGTCGATAAAGGTAATAACATTCCTAGAATTCTTCTCTTAAGACACAAAAACTTCACTTGCAACTTGGTCTATCTAGTCATGCTTTTTGGCTGGTAGCTTGGTTAAATCTATTCTAACATGTCATGAAGCATGATTTATCTGGTCTAGAGGGATTGAATGGACTCAAGGAAATTGCTGAAAGGCTTGAGGACAAGATATATATTGGTGCACAATTCAGGTAAAGTTTGACCCGAGTTCTATAATGTTCACAATTTATACATGAAAAAAAAAAAAAAAGGAACCTATTTCCATATATTTGCACTTCATTGTTGTGCTAGCCAATATTTCTTCTTTCTTTTCAATTTCATAATTTTTTTTATCTTTTGCCTCTCATCATACCATGGAGCTTTCCAAGGAAGATCTCTAACCATATTACCTCTGTTATTTTATTAAGTTTTTCAGGCATTTCTTTTATTATTTATTTCTTTGTTTAGTTTAATAGCGCATTCGCACCATTAGGTCTTTTTTTTTTTTTTTTTTTTTTTTTTTTTTTTTTTTTTTGGTGTTGTGAGAGATTTTGGAACTTAAAGTATATAAAATTTGAAAGTTTGTATTTATCTTAAATTTCAGACGATTATTTGCAGAAAATATCTTTGAAGATGTTTCAATGGATTCAAAATCTCAAAATCCTATGTCTAATTCTTTGCCCATCCAATACCGCTGGTAATAGTAACAACCCGCCGATAAAGGTAATAACATTTCGAGAATTCTTCTCTTAAGACACAAAAAACTTCACTTGCAACTTGGTCTATCTAGTCATGCTTTTGGCTGGTACGTTGGTTAAATCTATTCTAACATGTCATGAAGCATGATTTATCTGTCTAGAGGGATTGAATGGACTCAAGGAAATTGCTGGAAGGCTTGAGGACAAGATATTTGGTGCACAAGTCGTAAAGTTTTGACCCGAGTTCTATAATGTTCATCAATTATACATGAAAAAAAAAAAAAAAAAAAAAAACCTATTTCCATATATTGCATTTCACTGTTGTGCTAGCCAATATTATTCTTCTTTCTTTTCAAATTTCATAAATTTTTTTATCTTTTCCTCTCATCAACCATGGAGCTTTCCAAGGAAGATTCTCTAACCATATTGAACCTCTGTCATTTTATTAAGTTTTTCAGGTCATTTTTTTTTTTTATTTGTTTTTTAATTTATAGCCATTCGCACCATTAGGTCTTTTTTTTTGTTTTTTTTTGGGGGGGGGGGGGGGGGGGGGGGGTGGGGGGTGGGGGGGTGGAGGGGATGTGTGAGAGATTTTGGAACTTAAAGTACTATAAATTTGAAGGTTTGTATTTATCTTAAATTTCAGTCATCTTCCTAACTTCCTCTGACTAATTAGAAACTATAATCCTCAAGTTGTAGTTGAACTTCAAATTTTTAAATGCCCAATCTGTGAACTTCTTAGGTATGCAGCTGAATTCTAGGAGGCAACAAACCAGCATAACATTTCCCAATATCTAAATGCCAGACTTTCTTTGCATGAAGCAGACTTCAAGTTTTTATTCGAAATTTTAGCAATTAAAGTACATAAGTTTCACAGGAGTGGCTATAGAAAGTCACAGATTGGTGAAATCATATAGGCAACAAAGGAAATCAAAATTCTTTTAGTACATTCTTATGATGCTTGATATCAAAATGTTGACACTTCAATCTGATTGTAAACGAGGCCAGATAGTCCACCGTCGGGCACTAAAGCCAGCATCAAGGTCCTCTTGCATCTTCTTCAACAGTGAACTGCCCACATTATGGCTAATGTCTGTTTTGACAAAACCTGGATTAACTGCATTTATGATATGTTAGGCAGTTTCTGGCAAAATTCTTGAACTGTTAAGAGATCTCTGATGTTGCACCTAGTAGAGCTACAATCATAACTGTAAAGGTAAACGAAAATATGAAATATTGTCAGAGTGATTTCATTAGAACTAATTCTCATGAGTGATAGAATTTTAACAAGAAGTTTCAACAGGTCATTTTCAAGACTCCAGCATTTGAACACCAACACCAACTGCTTAAAGCAGCAGCTTATGGAGCCAGTAACAGAAGCTTTCAACTAAACAACTGTAGCGGGCTATTTGACTTCTCTATATGAATGACTGTTGAAGTCTTTCTTCTCTTTTTATTTTTTATCTGTTTTAAGGAACCTCGACAGTATGAGGAATTTGATTAATTAAATTAAAAAGATACACCAGATAGGGGGGACATACGCGCCTACCTCTCTAAAAATCATATACAATTACCCTCTCTAAAAATCATATTACACATCAAGGAAATGCAAATGCATGCAATTACAAAGAATAAAATGAAATAGAAAATAACCAAATTAGGAAAATCTATAGTTCTTATTACCCTAGTTGTTCTGAAGTCTAATCTGTCATTGCTAAAGCATAGTCTTTGCTGCAATCACATTAGTGGCCTAATGTCATCAGAGGTCTACCAAGAAGACTGTATAGTTGTCTTCACTCTTCCGCATCTGAATCAGTTCCTGTGTCTCGTAAGAAGTAAGGTTACTGTCCACAAACATGACTTGGGATTATCATAATTAAATAAAACTTTAGATATAGAAGTAGGGTTAATAGCTTTGAAAATAGTTGAAGATATAGAGGAATCAGAAGAAAACAAGAATTTTAAAGGCAAATATATACCTCTGTAATCACAGCTTGCTTTTTGGTCCAGGTGCATCAATAAAATGAACCCTAGTATAAAGAAACTTCATTATCTATAAAAATTATAAATTTTTGTTCAAAAAATTATCAGATTTTGACTCATTCCACAAATTTCTTGATTACCTGCCACCAACAACAGTTAGAGGAATCAATTAAGGCAAAGAACAGTTTACTTCAGAACTCAACAACAAAAAATTTTAGTCTCAGAGTCTTGACAGCAGCAAGCACTTCAAGATTACATCAGTCCAGCCGTATTCCACTGAATGAATATATAGAACAGGCCTTGAAACAAACTGAAGAAACAGAGAATTCACATTCTAAGCTATGACATATTTTTGATGATCAACACATGAACCTATACGCTCTCTAATTCTGAAAGCTATTGCAATGTTAAATATGCTTGCATAAAGTTGAATGAAAATTAGTGACAATAAAGATTAGACTTGAGGTGAAACAAAAATCATTTTAAAATATCACCAGTTTAACTTTACATAACAAGTACAGTCGAAACCCAATTGCTGCAATCCCAGTACATAGGAACTGTTAAAAATTATCACACATATAAGAAATTGAATTAAGAACTCGAATCTCTTAACAAGCCAAATGATAGAGCTTACCACTGCCATCACAATTTTGAAATGTATCCTGAAATTTTTTGCTTCCTGCAAGCATGACATAATCAAGACTCTGTTTCATAAAAATCTGCAATTGGTACAGTTTAGGTGCTAGAAATTGACAGACCTGAAAATAGTAGAAACATGAAAAGAGGAATTAGTGGATTCAGTCTCTTTGTTCGTTTGTGAGACCAAATGGAGTTCATTCTTGAACAACTCTTGTCCTTAGTCCCATTTACACTGTTTTTTGCACAAGTGAGAACTAGCATATTACAACCTTGGAAAGGCTTTAACAGAATCTTCAGCTACCAAATTTCACACATTTGAGCAGAAACACCTCTAAAAAAATTGCAGAAAGCAGAAGCTCGGCAAGCCAGAAGCAGAAACTTTAACAAAACAATGGTAGGCCAGCAGCCTGGAGTCACCACAACTCGGAAGGCAACTAAAAGCTTGACCTGAAATGCAACATTAGCCCCATTAATTAACTTTCAGAAATCAGAACCGAACTATGTAAAACACTCTAATAGAGTAAACTCTAATCAACCTTTAAAATTCTAATTTTAGGGAGGGATTATAATTTTAAAACTGCAATATAAAAAAAAATAATTTTACTGATTACCTGATTTTAAGACTTTGTAGACTTTATACTGTGAGTATTTTGTTATTTTTCAACAAATCAGCATTGAGAGTTTAAATTGTCTTAACAATCTGGCTAGTAAAAATCTAAAGTTCTCTTAATAAAAGTTAATGGTTACGAATGAAAATTTACATGGCTGAAAAAATGTAAAAACAATCGAATAGAGTAAACTTTAAAACTGCCAGCTTTGGCAAGGTCAAATAACAAACCATATGGTAAAGCTTACCACTGACATTAAGAAGTTGGCATATTTCATCCCGGAGGTCATACCTTTCAGTTGGTTCCTGCACGGGTAACATAATTATTAATAAACACCCTATTTTACAAAAACCTAAATCCTCTTGACAAAAAACTAATGGTATGGATTCTAGACCTGAATAGTCCACGAGAATGAAGTGAGGTAATTGACCATTCAGCCTTTTTAATTGTTCCTGAAATCAAATTGACTTCATTCTTCCTCCTCTGGCTTATTTAGAAACTTCAATACGAAAGGAATGTTCGCTATCTGAGACCACTCTTGTCCTTCTTCCCTTTTGCATCGTTGTTTCAGTAAAGGACATCTACTAATAAATAGCTGCAGAAGCGAGGACGGAAGGTCTGGCAAGGATGTAAGATTTGGGCAATCAATGATAGACAACCATTCGAGGGAGGTGAGATTTTGAAAACCCTTGGGAGATAGGTATTTCTACTGCGGGAATCTTCTGATTGTCAAATAAATTAGAGAGGCTGGCAGCTCGTCCTCTGGAAAAGACACTGCATTTGGGGATCATCAACGTCAAGTGATGTTAGATTGGAGGGAATATCTTGTTTGGGAAAGAATACATGTGACTAGGTAGGGCTTGTAGTTTCTCACATCCTCTGATAACGACTTCTAATTAAGTGGTAAGGAAGCCCATCTTTCGGGAAAGAAACAAGATTTGGGCAATTTTCTATTGTCATAGAAGTAAGATTTTGTAGAGGGAACTGATTCACTCCTACTGACATCTCTCTTATAAGTATTACACCTCTAATATTAAGATGGCGTTGATTAATCAAATTTCCCATTTATGGAGACAACTTATTGAGAACAAAACAATTTCTTAATAACGAACTTTGTAAATGTTTCAAATCTCCAATTGAGTCGAGTAATTCAATCTCCTAATAATTTATTAAAGATGGTTATCTCAATTTTCTGAGCTGTGGCAATAAATTGCGAAAGACTAACTTACTTACGAAACTCCTCTCATGTATTGACTTTGGTGGCTAAAATATTCTCAGGAACGTTCTTAGCTGCTCAACTCCATGGAAGATTTCAAAATTCTTCTCAACTTCATACTCTCTAAATGTGTAAGAAGGGTGTTGAATCCTTTCACGTGTTTTTATTTGCATGACACTCGATTCATCTTCCAATCTAAAACTTGTTTCTTGAGAAATCTCTTGGAACAAATCTTGAACAAGGTCGTGCATCACAAATTTCAAACTATCAATGCTCAATTATTGAAAAATTTATCTTGACAATAACTCATAAAAATACTCGCTGCCTAGGTCTTCTAGTTGCTTCTTATGGTTTACTATTCGTAATTTTGTTTTTTATTCAAATTGTAACATACTTTATGTGCTTGTTGTGGATAACGTTCATTGATTAGCAAATAGTATAATTATATTTAATTACTTTTTAACAATATCAATAAAGCAAGTAGTTCCTAATTTGAGGTTTTTCAATGATATGCGCTCATCCAATCGTTGAATCAATAATGTACATTGTCGTATTTTAGTTTACTAGTTTTCATCGGTGTCCAGTGTTAATACTTGGAATTTCACAATAAACTTTAAAATCATCTTGTTGGTAGTTACTTCATTCATTTAGAATTTCATAAACCATTTCATAAGCAACCGTCTTGCACCGAGAAGACAACGGAGGGTAATGCAAAATTTTTCTTTACCGGTTCAAAGTTGACAAGGTAAACTGTTTTCTTTACATGTTCAATCTTTGTTATTTCTTCAACTCTAGATTTACCCATTTATATTTACGGATGGGATACAAGAAGGAAAATATTTTTACCATGGACACTTTGGGATGCAAAGATCAACGAGGCTGAATGGATCTTGGATAGTATTGAGTCATATGGTGGGATATTGTGGTTTTTTTTCCTATTTGTTCTCATATAAAATTGTATATCTTTAGGAAAATTCTTTAGTAAAGGATACAATTTTAAACGTTGACACTTCAATCTGATTATAAAAGAGGCCAGATGGTCCACCGTCGGGCACTAAAGCCAGCATCACAGCTCCTCTTGCACCTTCTTCAACAGTGAACTGCCCATAATTATGGCTAAGGTCTGTTTTGACAAAACCTGGATTAACTGCATTTATGATTATGTTAGGCAGTTTCTTGGCCAAAATTCTTGTATAGGAATTAACAGCAACTTTAGAGACTACATATGCAGAGCTATTAATAGGCCACCCTTTGGTTTCCAGCAAATCCTCCTTAGCATCCTCCAAGAACTCCTTGATCACCTCATCTATTTTCTCTTCTGTCAGGCTATCTATGTCGCCGAGTACCCTGTTTGCCCTTTCATGTGAGAGGAACTGAAATGAATTTACAATGAAGAAAGAAAATGTGACTCACTCAAATTTTGTAACATAATGTCAGCAAGAAAGATGAACTGATGTTCTAATACCTTTAACTGCCCCAAGGCTGAGGAGACATTCACTAATCTTGCTGAATCAGGCTTAGCCCCTTTTGCACTGTTTTTCTTTTTTCCCTGCAAAGGGAAAACATTCATTTCTAACTGCACAAGTGAGACCTAGCATATTACAACCATGGAAAGGCTTTAACAGAATCTTCAGCTACCAAATTTCACACATTTGAACAGCAACACCTCTAAAAAATTGCAGAAAGCAGAAGATCAGCAAGCCAGAAGCAGAAACTTTCAATAAAACAATGGTAGGCCAGCAGCCTGGAGTCACCACAACTAGGAAGGCAACTAAAAGCTTGACCTGATATGCAACATTAGCCGTACCTCCACCAAGCATAGTGTACCATTGCCTCTCACATCCAAATTCAACTCTACGTCTTAACAAAAACTTGGTATCTGTGCAATGTCTAAGGAGTTTAGGCTTAGAAGTAACAGGACATCTACAAAAAAATTCAACCTCCCCAATCACGGCTTTCATTTAGTCCAGTCATCAATAACATGTAGTCATCATCTGTTTAAAAAAAAAAAATACAAATTTAGCTATCAAAGTATATAGAAACTTCGGTATGTAAGAAAATAATATACATCAAAAGCTGCAGAACATAAAAATTAGTCTCTGTTTCCACAGAGCTGAAAAATAGTAAAAACTGTCTAATTAACCTTTAAAATTCCAAGTTTAGGGAGGGATTATAAGGTGGGCATGCTCAAAGAACTTTAAAACTGCAATATAAGCAAATTTTACTAATTACCTGACTTTAAGACATTATACTGTGAGTATCTATTATTTTTCAACAAAACAGCACTGCGAATTTAAATTGTCTTAACAATCTGTTTAGTAAAAATCTAAAATTGTCTTGATAAAAGTTAATGGTGATAAATGAGAATTTACAGTTTAATGCAGAATGTGATGAGCTCTGTTATTAGACTCTGTATTTACATAGCTTAAAAATGTAAAAACTTTCTAATAGAGTAGACTTTAAAACTGCCAGCTTTGGCAAGGTCAAATAACAAACCATACGGTAAAGCTTACCATTGCCATAGTGAAGTTGGCATATTATATCCTGGAGTTCATACCGTTCAGTTGGTTCCGAGCAACATAGGGTCCGTTTGGTTTATTATTTCTATCATTATTTTCAATCCTATTCCCAAAATATTTGTTTATTAATTATTTAAGAAATACTATTATATTTTTTTATGTACTTTTAGACTCCTTAAGTTTATTAATTTCATTAAATACCCCCAGGAAAAAAAAGTTTAAAAATTAACAAAAACACCCTCACCCACCCATAGTTGTCAGATTCTGGCAACCACAATCGGTGGTAGCCGAAATCTATCACAATGGCCTACAAACGACCGGAACTGGCCAGTAATTGTTTCTGGCCAGATCGACACACGTTTGATAGATTTGATCGGTTTGAGTTGTAACGACAGATTCTGACTAGATTCCGATGGTGGTGGCCGGAATCTAGCACTGTGGGTGGGGGGGGGGGGGGGGGGGGGGGGAGGTGTTTTTGTCATTTTACAAAAATTTTATATATTGGGGTGTTTAGTTAAATTAGCAAACCTAGGGGGTTTGTTTGTAAATTTTTTAAATTTGACCTTTTAATAATCACCCTATTCAACTATCCAATACTATATTCAAAATCCTATCCAAAATAATAAATCAAACGCACCCTAAATATTGTTCCACATTGACTTACAGGAGACAATACATATACATATGTATGTATGTATTCTTTGTCGATCTTTTGTTACTCTTAACATTAGAGTTGCGTGGTTTAGGTCAATGTGTTTACATCCACAAACAAACGATGATTATAATCTGCTATTTGAAGGGAGAAAACGTAAGTGCATAATATTCTCCCCATACACTCTCAAAAGCCTACTCATTTGTAATTTTCATTCCACTTACAAGTACAAAGACAAATGAGGATATATACGAAATATTACAAAATGAAAAGACAGTATTGTTCTTCATGAAGAAATTGACAAATTTAAGTTACAATGCAACAGATTCAACATTCCCACCAGTTTTCTACAAAGGCCTCATTCATAGCCTTTGTAGTGTCTACCAGTGTTGGTCTAAAATCATCCCAACCGTGCCTCATTAACTGTAGAAAACTACAAAAACATGGCCTTTAAGGTCTAGAAAATCATACCTTTGAAATCCCATTACTTTCTTTTTTAGCGTTCCTGCTGCCAACGGCAAGCCTTTAGACTTTTTAACAACTTTCTCCCGAATAAATTCCGACTTTCCTGCAGTAATAACTCTACTCCTAGATACATGCTTCTTAAATATGGCCCAACAAGCATCTACGGGCAGAACTGAGAATCTTTAAATTATAACATTCTTCTGAGTTCCATTGTTGTCAAAATTATTTTACTTTCTGGAGCACAGTCCATAAACGGAGACTTCAGGGCTTCCCACAAGTCATAATCCTTAAACCAAACTTCTAAACCTTCCTGGGGTTTATCATTCTGAGTCTCCATCCTTTACCTTTAACGTAAAAGATAAATAAACTGACAGACAGACAAAAATATTTGCATTTTGAGGTGGTGTGCGTCAAAGACATTAGACATTTCAGAGAATTGAGAATTATGAAATAGTAATATTAAACATAACTTATAATAACAATTATAAGTTAGGAAATTGTTTGAATTGCTAAAACTGAAAATGTATGATATTAAAAATATAATTCAAAATGGATATAATCAAATCTGTTCTACTTTATTCATATAAAATGCCTCATAAAACAAGGCTAAGAACAAGACTCAAAATCGAAAACCTACTATGAACATTGATACCCATTAATAACAACATTATATACCCTCCTCAGAATCATCTATTTGCCAAAACAAAAAAAAAAAACCCATTTTCCAGCTCAGTGCTGTTTAATAAAAGACCTGAGCTTCCCTTCCTTCAAAATCATCGTCTTCGCCAACTCTATCTATCAATCTTTGAGATGATGCTTGCCAGAAATCCCGTCTATAATCCGATTTTCATGCTGTAATTTTAATTTGGCCTTTCCTCCAGTTATTGATTAACTTGTTCTATCCACCCGAATCAGTAACACTCTGGACGGAAATTAAAAGTTATATCGTTTGTTAGTAATCGGAACCAACTTTGGAAACAGTAGAATGGAACAATTCCAAATTATACAAAATAGGGACAAGATCGAAAGATATCTTACTGACATGTACATCGAGAATCCAAGTTGGATTGATGGCTTGCTGAGCTACGCTATCAGAAAATAATTTATCAACCAAAGCCAAAACCCTCGCTGGCTTCATGTATAGCAAGCAACAAACGTTCTTGAAGATGATCCTTGGATGAATACTCGGGAAGATCTAGCTGATTGAAGCTGGACAATAAGATTCAAATGTTAGGAGATGATGCCATGATTCTAAGAAATACTTGCCACCTGGAAACAAAGAACAAACATATAATAACAATATGCATCAAGTGCTCTTCACTGACCATGTATGAGCTGAGGGCAGACGCTCGGGAGCTCCATATGCCTTGTGAATTTGAAACTTCTGGGGACCTGAGATACCTTGCAATGCCCTAAAACCCTCCAATGGAACCTGAAATCCAGTATGAAATACATTAATGCAATGGATTAAAATCAGAACTATTATTGAGAGAATCTCATAGCCCTACAGTAATTATCATATGTATTATCCCTCAACATATTACATGTGCCTGAAAAATGAAAACATCAGGGACCATTCAATGTAGATCATCAATGTACCTTTGATGTTCCAGTGACAAACTGGAGCAGTCTAGCCATGTCTTCCTTATTGAAAGCTTTAGCAACTTCCCAAAACCACTGAACAACATTAGATGCCGCTGTATAGCCAGTGTACTCTGTATTGGCCCTTAGATCATCCACTGCAATGACATAGAAACCAGTCAGATACTCTTTAAGGAAATGTAAGTAAAACACACAAATAAAGTAGACTTATAGTCGGCTCAACTCACAATCAATTTCAGGAAGTCCACTAATTAGTAGCTCTAGCTCTTTATCATTGAAAATTGAAATAAGTTCTCGGGGAACCAATTCACTGAAACCTTCCAGGAACGAATTGATTTGTGGACGGATAGCATTGGTCAAGATATGATCAGCAACAAGGTCCACATACTCATGCTTTGTTTCTTCTGTAACCCTTATATTTCTTCCTCCAGGTTTAAGCTCATAATCAGTAACCTATTTAAAGTAGAACATGAAAGAAATTACCATGAAATGAAACAGGTCAGAAGAAAATTTGCAAAAAAATAATAACAAAAATGTCATATAGAAGAAAATCATGGGAATTTATTTTAAAAAAAAAAAAGCCGCTCAAGATGAACTAATAAAAAAACAGAATACAAATTAAATTACCTCAGTTTTCTCGTAAAGAATGTGCTTTTCTTCATCCGGATCCATGCTAAATGTCAGGTCAGGAATGTCACTTACATCGTTCTGAAATAGAAAAGACGCAAAAGATGTCACTCCTTACAGTTTTCAAACTTCCTCCACAGACAGATGTCAACGGAAAACCAGAGTTCAAATAAGAAAAACACAAGACTGTGGAATTTTAACACTAACCTCCAACATCCACTTTAAGTTCTTATAATAATCAGGGTCAACAGCCTCTATGTCATGGTAAGTCACTTTGACACCAAGGATGTGCTTGTAGAAGGAGCGGGTGAAATGAACATCCAAAAGCTGACCATCAAAGAGAGCTTTGGCAACCTGCATAAAATATCATAGCAATGATCAACTTGCTGACAATCAACACAAATAATATTATCGCTCTAAAATTCATTAAACCAAAAGATTACCACACGGCCCACAAATTTGAAGTAGGAAAGATGCTCAGTCTGGTAGACAGAATTGGGGTTTGGCTGGAAAGATGCATTATTTCCAACAGTAGTGAAAAGTAATGCTCCTTTATCAAATATGACCCTTGACAGTAATTGATACCATTCCCTAGTCAGACCCCCAGCATCAATGCCCTCTTCACCTTGGAAATGCACATTCAACCTTCCCTTCAAATCTTGTGTGGACCGCATCCGCAGCTGATTGTAAGAATCCTCTAAAACATATGCCCGCCGAACACTGATTCGCAGTGGGCCTGAGAGGTGTTGTTCATGCTGTTGCCTTATCCTTGAACGGAAATATGCTCTCTTGTTATCAAAATCGATCAGTCTAGGTGCCTTCAGCATCATAGAAAGTGATTTCTCCAACAAACTGGGATTCTGTCTGATAAAAGCATTAAGAAGCCGGCGATGCTTTTCAGCAAACCTAGCGAATGTGACAGCACCCTCAAGCTTTCTCTGAGAATCATCATTGCATTTCATGGTTAAGGAAGTTGAGCTCCCGGCAGACTCTTTGACTTCTGTAGCAGTTACATTTGCATGATCTTGCTGGATCATGGCAAGGTTTGCTTGTAGCTTTTCACACAAAACAAAGAAAGCCTCAATAAATGGAAGGAGTCTCTGTGTTCCTGGTGGAAGAGGTGACGTACCGGCAGTCCCTTGTACCTGCTCCCCGACAATTATATTAGACATACTTGGACAGAAGGAGTTCTGACCCAGCTGTGTCTCTGTCATACCAATACAATTACTTAATTCTTGCCATAATGGCTCAAGTGCAACATTTAGATTCCACATTGTAGTTTGCTCCTCCTGTTCCCCATCATTCTCCTGACCTGAACTTTCACCACCAGTGGTTGACAAGAGTGAGCTGAGTGCCTGTAGCACACGTAAAATTGCGGCCCCAGCCATGGAACCAGCACTCAGACCCAACATTTGTGTATCACTCAGTGTCACAAGTTCATTGACAGCTGAACTACTCAAACCATGCGCCAGTTCCGAAAGCTCTGAAGTAAAGAACTTTCGATGGGGTGCAGCAACAGAGGCCAACTTCTTCAGAACCTCACCAGCTAACATATAAACTTTATCTGACAACCTAAACAAGTAATTAAAACGACTCTATTAATGCCCTACTGCCTTGAAGAGAAACAAAGAAATGGAAACTCAAAAGAAATTTTAAGTTAAGGTAACAGGAAGTAGATAAACAGCTAATGATAATAACTAGCAAGAAGTTCACATAATACTATGGATTACTAGCCAACATAGAGCACAGAGAATATAGAACTTTTAGTACATTCACAGATAAAGATCAGAGATAGCAAGTACCCTTCACGACCAAGAAGGCTGCATAGATTGCGCAAATCACATTGTGGCAGATGCAAGAAAATATCACAGTTATCCATGCTCCTCTTTCCATCTGAAGTAGATGACTTGTCACTGGCATTTTTATCCTCTTGGCTTGATGCTGGTTCAGCTGAAGGAGGATCTTTTGGAGCATCACCAGAAGCTTCATCAATCAGCGGCTTTTGGGAATTTTCAGTTGCTGATTCAGATTGTGACCGACATTCAAATTTTGAGGCTGCGGCATAAACAATTACCTGAAGCAAACCCATGACCTGAACCACAAGAGACATTAACATATAAAAATTAGAGGAAGACTATAAATCTAAACTAGACGTAACCATACAAATTCAGGATTAAAGGAAGAGTGCAGCCCAACCTATTACATACAGCTTCAAATATGGACAGGTCTAATATATCTTAAAACTTCTCATGCAAAAAACTATTTTACCTGCTCAAGATGTGCAGTGCTGCGCAAAAATAGAGGTCGGTTCAAGAGTTTCAGGAAGAGTATTAAAGGAACATGCCCATCCTGTAAGTCACCTGGAGGTTCTGATGAAGCATCTCCATCCAGAATTTTCTCTTTGCCTTTGTCCTTAGTTTCAGAGTATTTTGGAGTTGCAAGCTCTGGAACAATTGAGGGATCAAGGTAGAACAACATACTTGCAACAGCAGAATGGTTTGTGGCCAGATAAGTCATAATCTCAAGAATTCGACGCAACACCAGGGGAGGAAGACCTGTTTGTAACCCCAAAAAAAAGAAGTTAGTTTATATGTTAAACCTAAAACAGAGTGTATAATAGTGAAGACAACAAAAATGGAAGAAATACCATCCAACAACTGTGAACGGCCATAAACAACATTTGACTGACAGCCATAGAGCCTCTGTGAATTAATTGTTGCCAATCCATTAGCTGAACCTTCAGCCTCAGGTTTAATCATATCGAGTAAAAGACGAACTAAAGCTGCCCTAGTAATACTATGTGCACACAGATTTAACAGCAATCTCTGCAGAAGGCCTTTCCCAAGGGGCTGCCACATAAGAAGGGAGAAAAAAAGCACAAAGTCAGCAGAATAATTGAAATGCATTACAAAGAAAGACACCTTAATAAGCAACTAATACATAAACCTTCGGCAGGTGAGCTGGTAAAGAACACTTCCCCCCCCCCCTCATACTACCATAAGATAGAATATGCCATTACCTGCGCTAACCGTAGAAGCCGGATCAAAGCTTTCAATGCATCTGCATCCAACAGAGGCTCTCCTTCAATTTCCTTCACTTTCAAGCTATCTGCAATAGCAGAAGCTGCTCTTCGGCCTATTGTAACTCCAACACCCCTATCCATCACTGTCTGCCTATCAAAACCCAGACCATTCCTTCGACCATTTAACCTGTGGCTTCCTCCAAAAAGACTGCGAGCCTGATAATGACTCATTGCTCGGTCTCTTAACATTTGAGCTTCAGCAAGTAATGGAGAAGGTAAAGCAGATAAAACTGCTTCTGAAGAAGTCAAAAGTACCTGAAATAAATGCAACATTAGAAAGAGTTACCACAATCAATTAGTAATAAAATGCCAAGTTCAAAAAAGATACCTCTTCACGCAAATCAGCAGGAAAAGTAGCAATTATTGAAGCATTATCCATGTCAACTGGTTGCCCTTCTCCCTGTTGTGCAAACCTCTGTGCTCTTTGTTGCGCCAAAACTTCTGCTTGGATATCAGGAGGAAGGGCAGCCAGAAACTCCGGATCTATGTCATCTGCTGAAGGAGGAGTATAAGTCGGAGGTTGAACGGACTGAGCTTGTTGAGAAGCTAGCACTTCTGCCCTTAAGTCTTCAGGTAGTGCCTCCAAGAAGGTTGGATCAATAGCACTAGCACCAGGAGCCTCATTATTGGCAGTAGTTTGGTCAGTCTGAACAGTGTCTTGAGAAACCACAGTGTTTTGCCCAGATGATGACATATCTACACCTTGTTCAGAAGCAGGCATGGATTCTTCAGCCTGATTTCCTTCAACATCAACGCCACTCATATCAACATCAATATTTGCATGAACCGAAGAAGCTTGCACATCACCAAGATTGGGCATCTCCATACCAGAATCCATCACCACATGATTAGTGGCCTGATCATCCACTCTTGTCGATCCTGATCCATCAATGCCACTGGTCTGAACTGACACATCAGGCACATTTGAAGACATTAAAGATGCACCTTCATGCTGCAGATCAGCAGGGCAGTCTGCAGCTGAGTTGACAAACTCTGGAATTGCCTCTACTTGCTCAGCAAAAGTACCATTACCATCCCCAATTTCCATAATATCCTGTCCATTAGAGTTCAAAGAAAGTGGTTGAATAACCATAGGCTCATCTTCGACAACAATCCCAGAATTGTTCTGCTCCCCAGTAGGAACACTACCAACTGTTGGATCAGATTGGTGATCAACTATTTCATTCCTATTTTCTTGATGTGGACCTTCATTCTGAGGACTAGCAACATTTTCACCCTCTACCACCGCTAGACCATCAACAGATGCAGGTGCATCTGATAATTGCCTCTCCTGCACTCCTGAATTCTGGGACTGCCTTTCAGCCAGATTGCTTGCTGGAGATATACTACGCAACTGAGATACAAAGTGCTCTTCTACAGCCTGCGCAATCGCAGAAGCCTGGGGTCCTGCCTGCGGTTGACCATCATCAGTCCATCGACCATCACCCAGCCCTCTTCGCCCAGATAACTGCAATGAATCCATACCTACAGAATAATCAGTCAAAGGTGGGGGTGCTACACCACCCAAACGATCACCAAAAAGACTACTTGGCACATGATCATACGGAAAAACAGGGGCATCAAACATGTAGAAGTGAGCAACATCAAAACTCCCAGATGACAGAGCTTCTAAATCCCGGGATGAGTTCCCACCCGATGACCACATTGAGACCAGGTCACCTGAATGGGATGGCCTTGAGAGGAGAGGATGTTGAAACCCACTTACTTCTGTGACAGATCGCTCAAAAGAAGACCTACCAGTTTGACGCCGGCGCTCAAAACCTAAAGGTCTGCTGCGAAGACCAAAAAGGTCATCCACATTCACCCCTTCGAATGGTTCAGCGGCCACATCAATAAGACCACTTGCACCTCCAGGTTGCCCAAGCACCTGCAAATGATCCAAACCATCAAGGGCCTCCCTCCACCGAACCTCTATGACACGGTCCTCATGAAAATCATCATCTTCTTCATCCATCATCTCATCATTGTATTCATCTCCCAAGCCAGTATCATCATGGTCATCCACATCAGTATCAGCTAGAGACATCATGCCAGCACCATCTTCTGCTATATCCTCATCCTCATCATCCCCCTCATCATCATCCTCGTCATCATCTGCATCATCTCCCATGTCATCATCCTCATCACCCATATCATCATCTGCCCTATTCTCAACATGAAACGTCATTTCAATTTGGTCAGTGTTGTTTAACACACCACGTTCATCAATTTCTTCACGCATGAAATCCATAGGAAGCTCCATAGGTGGATTGGCAGTTGTTGCATCTTCCACTTCTATTCCCATATCTTGCTCAGCAGACTGGTTTGCATTCACTTCATTGTTTCCTTCACTTCGAGAAATTCCTTGGGGCTGTTGTTCAGTGTCTTCAGCATCAGTAACTTCATGTTGATTGCTCCTATTTTGATTAGGCTCTATAGTCTCAGCAGCAGCAGTAACCTGATCATCATGTCTCCCATTTGACCCTACAGATTTTTTCTTGCTGCCCCCTTCAGATTTAAATACCTGCTCACTTGCATTAGCAGCCCTTGTTAGGCTTTCAAGAGCCTTCAGTATAAGATTCACAGTTTTGGCAGCATCAGGATAGTCTAAATCAATTACTTGAAGAATGCTGGTTAAGCATTGAACCATTCCACCATCAATCATGCTTTTTGCAATGTCCGGGGAGCACCCAGGACCAGGTAAGTTGCTGGATGATGAATTTTTTGACAAAATAGAATAGGCCAAATCAACAAAAGCAAAAACCTTTTTATCAGGCAACAAACTGCTCTTAGTTGAATTACTCTCCAGGTTTGATAATGAAGATAAGGCTTTTACAAGTTCATTAATTACTCGTTTACGCCCTTCACTGGAACGACCACAAAGTACCACCAGAAACCATGAAGCTTTTTCAGACAACTTTTCTCTCCATTCATCAGGCCCGGCTGATTTATCAATAGACAGTGGAAGTAACCAATGTAAAACATGATGAAGAATTCCACCTTGTCCAGAACCATCTAGATGGTTAGGCCCTCGGAGTTGACACATCTCCAAATCCCTTCTCAGTATAACCCCAACAGCATGTACATACATAAGAAGAATATCACTCAATAATTTGAGTACAAAAGTCACTTTAGCAAGGCAAGCAGATCTTTCTGAATCAGACTTTGTTTTCCTTGTCTCATCAACCTTCGACTTACCCTTTACCTTTGTAGCTGGTTCATCTACCTCCATAGAAGTCAACTCACTCATACCATCTTCCTGGCTTTTAGGCAAAGGGTATTTCAATACTATTTCAAGTAGCTGATCAATTACTTGAGTAAGATTGGCAGGAATTCTTTTGTGGCCTTTGGAACATCTACTTAATCCATCATGACTCTTATTTTCAGAAATCCGAACAGATTCTATAGAAGATAGTCCAAGTTCACCACCTGTTGATTTCGATTTGTCTTTCTCCTTGTCCTTTTCTTTTTCCTTTGACAAAACCACAAAGGTCCTCCCTCCCGATGACTCCAGCTGACAAATTGCTGCTGCAGCTTTCATAAATATGACAGGATCTCTTGAAATAACAGGTGCCATTGATGTCAAGAATGTTCGCGGGAGACTACGTCCAGAATGCCTGTTTAGACTCAAATGTTGTCGTATCTCCAATTCCATGGCTGTTTGCAGTGTCTGAGGGTCTTCAAGGAGATGTCTAATGATAGCAGATGCAACAGTGTCGTATCCAGGGAAAAAACAACTTCTTGGAAGACTAAACAGAGCAGCCAAGCCACCATTTTCAAGAAATTGCAAAGCTAGGACATGCGTTTTCGTCAAACGAGCACATAACTGCAGAACAGCCTGCATGATCATGGCTGGAACATGTTGTTTTATTAAGTCACAAGCTACAAGCAGCACCTTATGACTCTCTTCCATCGTCAAGTAACCTGGAGATTTCCCCAATATTTTCTCAAATGGTAAGATAGATTTTTTATCATTGACATCTGAATCTGATTTTTTCTCTGTAACTGCTGCTGGAGCTGACAGCTCTCCAGATGGGTCAGGCAGAGGTCCTACCTGGGTTCCTTCTGTGGATTCAGAGACAATTCCAGGCCGAGACTGCAACAGGTTATCTAAAATAAGTAATAAAGCACTTATGCATTTAGGGACCACAATTTCATTCTCTGACTCATTTCTAGCCTTAAAACTCACAAGGATATCCACCGCAGTAGGTACAATACCATTCTGTGCAGCAATTTCTCTAGTACTTCCATCCTCAAAAAGAAGCAATGCTATAATATGTGATATTGTACACAATGCACTGGTATCCTTTGAAAAATCCAACGGACATTCTTTAAGGTGCTGAACAAGATGAGATACAACTTGTGGACGATCTTCTCCTTTGTTTCGGTTGCAAAGTGTCACAAGCAAATCCGTCAATGGGAATGCCATTGTATCACTACTCTGAAGCAATTTGACAGATGAAGCAAGGATATCATTAATGGGGGGTGCCTTCACTTGACCCTCTTCAGTTAGAACATCCATTGACTTGTCAGTACTGTCAACCTTTGCTGTATCTGACGAACTTCCCAGAGACAGAGCAAGTGCTCGAGCCAGTTCATCATCTTCTTGCACAGGATCCTCAGAATGACTCAACAACCACTCTGTGGCCATTTCAACACTATTTGTTTCCACTCGTCTCAGTGCTTCCTCCACTCTTGCCCTTGAAAAGCCCATATCAACAATAATGGCAATAGTATTTTCATCAGGTGGTGGAGGCATGAGACGCTGGTTTGTACTCACTGCAATACCACTACGATTTCGCTTCACATCTCCTACACCAGAGTATACATGGGTAACAAGTGAAATAACCAAGGCAATGAAACCTGGACTACAGTTTGGAAACATAGGGTGATTCCAGATAGGCAGTATCACATCCAAAACCTGAGATTGAAGCATACGAACAAAGGCTTCTGGGTCCCTAGGAACAGGGAAGAGCCCAATAGACAAACCAACAGCAACTGGTGGCTGAACAAGCAGCTGAGCCTGGGAAGCAGAGGTTGGAGACAAAAGAAAAGCTGAATTAACAAAATACTCCAGCACACGGCAATAGCTTTGCAATGTATCAAGCAGCCATGCACTGTGAGTCAATTTGCTTCCCTCACCTACTTTCTCAGGATCAATACCTGATGTTGGAATAGAGTATGGTAGCGTCCATAGCAAATGACTAGTAGCTTCAAATGTAGTGAGTAGCTCTTTGAAGGTTCCATGGACATAAAAATTATTAACCATTGCTGTGTAACAAGTACGTCGCCTGTTGTCAAATGTGAGTGCTGCCATGTCATCCACAACCTTCCCCAGATACCGACACTTCACTGACAGCGACATATCAAGCCCAGAAGAAGAAGAAGAATAGTCAGAGAAGCTTAGGGCCTCCAGAAATGTTTTAGCCAGGGCAGTTCCAAGGGTCTTTGAAGCTGAACTCAATGAACCTGAATCAGCTCTACGACGATTTGGTGAGGTGAAACCCTTCACAAGAGCTGTAAAGAAAGCACGCAATGTTGAAGCCAACTTGTTAAGAATTTCCATGACAAGAACATCAGGACTTTTCTTCTTCAAATCATGTGAAGAAGATGTCTCAGGTAAATTAGGCTGAACTTCAGAATCAATGTTAAATGCCTCCAGGTGCCTACTAGTTCTTCCACCCCGAATGCGAGACAAACCATGATGTCGACTACGACGATGTAAACCTTCACCAGAACGAACAACTGAAAGAAACTCTCTTTCTCCACCCCACAGCGACTGCGAAGCATTGCTAACGGAAACGGCGTTCATGTATCTCACTGCTGGAATATTTTCATCATGATCGCTTTCCCTTCCAACAGCACTGGATGGAGCTGCATCTGCATTCTCCCCCTCTTGATCAGCATTCTTCTTCTCATCTGCCTTGGTATCATTACACAAAGAAATTTGCCAAATTATTTCCCTATATGCTTTCCCAAGATCTTTCAATACATCAGCATCTGCAGTGCTCAATTCAGAAACAACAGTACTAGTACCCTTCAGCAAAAAAATGGAAAGAGAGAGAAGACCCTCTAGACTGGAAATATGTCTCAAAACTTTAGTTTGCTTTCCAGATTCAACTGCAGCAAGCTGACCACCTCCAATTGAAACTAATAGTTCATTTGTTAATTTCAAATGTTCCCTCAAATACGAACAAACAGCCCGAGCCAGAGAAGCAGAATGCTGAGGTGAGAAGTTCTTAAAAGCAACTGGAATACTCTGACCAACTGATGCTGAAATAGGCATTAAAGGTAAGGTGAACAACTGCAAGACAGCATCAATCCCCTTCTTCTCAACAAATATACGACATGTGTCAGCATTCTGAAGAATTGTCTCAAGAAGACGAGCAACATTGCCTACACAATCAGGAAGAAACGATTCAATATTTGCTAAGGATGCATCAGAAGACGACTCAGATGTCTGCTCTGAACTATCCATTTTGGAAGAATCCCTATCATCTGGCGTAACCAAGGTCCTTTCTTCGACATCAGTTTCCATGGGAACAGGAGTACTATCACACAGAGCATCGGTGGATAAACATGAAGGATCAGCCCCAGATCCAATTTTTATAATGGCATTCAAGATCTCGATCACCATATCTACTCCAGGACCACGCAGAGAAGAAGCATGACGCATAAGTTCATCCAGTCCACTAGACAGGGATCCTGGTGTATCACCTGCAAGGACACGCGAATAAGTTCTGGAAGTAAAGATTTTCACAAAGCACCTCAAAGCATTGCGATCTTTCACAGCCTGAAGACCGTTATTGTTTAGACACAAGGCATCCAAGCACTGAGGTATGCATATTATGGCTTCTGCAGAGCATAAAACACCATCCATTATTGCATCAAGGAATGCAGAAGGCAGGCCAGCTGCCTCTAAGACAGGAAAACAGGTAGGATCTTTGTGAATCAAATCACTCATGACAGTTGCTGCAAGTGAAAATACCCCACCACCGAAATCCTTTGCTCTTCTAAAAATAATGCATAAGCATTGTGGCAATAAACTCTCCTCAGAGCCATAAATACGGGCAGTGTTTCCAGGAGCATAAGTTCCAAGAGATATAGCACGCAACAGAACTTTCATCAGTAGTCGCCGGTGATATGCAACTAATGCTTCAGAATATAGAGGCTGCATGTTATCGAGCTCACTGGAAGTACTTGCAACAATTTGTGAACTGCTCCCACTAGAATCAGAATCCTCACCACGTTGCTTAGAACCATTTTCTACATAGGACACCTCTACCTTCAGGCGAGAGATGGTATCATCTAAACCACCCAAGTCTCTGAACAATGCAGCAGCTGGATTACTGTAATCCATGAAAGCTTCTAGAATATGCACAGCTGTGCTGACCAAATGCAAGTGCTGAGGATCTGTATCTTTAAGAAGAGGTAAAAGAGTAGGAATAAACCCAGCCTCTCGCATTGCTGAGCAACCCGAAGAAGATGAAACCAAAACCGTGACAAGTGATAACAAAGCCTCAGCAAAAACAACAGACCACTTTGAGGAATTACTAAGAACAGAATCAATAGTTTTCTGCATGAGGCTAGATAGGATACCGCAGTGCCCACCAGATGTCACAGCAGTCAATACAGATGGCTGGCGAGAACGATCTTGACAAAGTGCAACTAATGAAAGCAGGCAGAGAATCCGAATTTTCTCAGGCACTGCATCTTCATAACTCAACAGGGTAACTAATTCATTGACAAACTCAGGCTCAGAGTTAAAAAATGAAGCTAGATCATCAGCATCACTGCTTGCTTGAACTAGAACTATGAAGGCATATAAGCGAATGCATGTGTATTGCTGTCGAGCAGCTAGACAGCCAAAAGCCCTTGCAAACCGCAACCTTGACAAAAGAGAAAATCTTAAACTGGTGGGAACTCTGTACTCTGCAACTAACTTATTGAGAAGCTCCAGATCATTTTCTGGACGAGTGTTGATGTTAGGTAAATGAATGATTTGTAAACCTTGTATTGACTGCTCTGTGGAAGAGATTTCATTTGAGGACTCATTCACTGCATAGAACTCAAAATGCAAGGTGCAGCCCAACTCATGAGCTACTGGATCACACCCATTTTGCACAGCACATGCAATTAATCCAAGGCCCTCTTCCTTTCCCCCCCAACCCTGTGCAAGAGCAAATAACTTTGAATTCAAAGAAGCATCTCTAATGGAATACTTCCCAATAGTTTTCTTCAAAAAAGCTGCCAAAGTCTGCAGGCAAGCCTCAACCACATCCGCATCAGTGGAAGCAAGCAAGGATGAAAGATGCTGCTGCAAGAAGATGAGAACCCCAAAAAAAATAGAGATCTAAGAAGAGAGATCAGGGAAAAGAAAGAATGGCAAATTATTGAGAATTATCAAGTACTTTAACTATAAAAATACATGTTAAACAAATAAGTTCATCCACACTGTGAAAAGGGGGGAAATATTTAATGACTAAAGCGGGTTATCCACCATGGGTAGTTTAATTCTCACACACCAAAATCTAAGCACAAACAAGCTTGCAAAGGATTTCTGAAACATAAAAACATACCTCATATGAACTATAAAAATGCTTATTTGTACAATTCTCCAAAATTATTCTTATGACACGGAGTATCTGAAGAACTGCTTCTCTTGGGAAAGGAGGATCAGATTCCAAGAAGTTATCCTCAACTTGCAAATCCTTCCTAGATTTTACATGCTTCTCAAAAAATGAATCAAAATGGTTAAAAAGATCAACCCAATGATGGAAATCTCCCTGCACCAAAAAAAAAAATAAAAAATAAAAATAAGCATAAATCAAAATCCATTAAAATATTAACAATACTGAATGAGATAAAGGCTATAAAGGCACCTTATCGAACTCCCATACAAAAGTTTTTAGGGGCTCCTCTATATTCTCAAGCGGCACAGAAGTGACACTATTGATGAAGGATCTGATTTTGGGAGGCTGAAGATATAAAAGGAAAAATAAATANAGCATTGGCCCACAGTTTACAGAGAAAAACTTGCTATTTATTATTTAATCCAAAAGTCAGTGATAACAGGTCAGCACTGGCGGTGATGGCGCTTCTTGACTTTTCGAAGGCATTTCTCTACTGCTCTTTTTAACTACTCAGACTCCATTTCAAATTTACAATATACTATTCGCTACCACTTTTTTAATTTTTGTTAGACCTTATTCTTAAATATAATTTTATTATTTTCTCTTAAGCTATTTAAACAAATTTCATCCATGTTCAAAATAATGCTTGTATATTTTTAATTTTTTTTTTATTTGTCAAAAAGAGGTAGGCATAGGACCAAAGTTTTTGGCTTTATTACTTTTGGAGGTTTAATTGGTAAAATGAGTCATATGACTTGTTGGGAATTTGCTTAGTATTGAAGAAAGAGAGTTGGAAGGTTTGAGACATTGTGGAAGTTTAGATTATCACTAATAATATGGAACATTTAGGCTAAAAATGTTATTTAATTGTACAATAATACCCACAAATGAAATTAAGTCGACTTTCTAATTTAATTGTACAATAATACCCACAAATGAAATTAAGTCGACTTTCTAATTTAATTGTATTAATTTGATAATACTATCGGACTAGATATTATAAGATAATCCAGACAAAAGATTATACGAAGATGTTTTAACTGGAATAACCAAACAAATAATGTACTATATAGGAGATTGTATCTCTCGATAATGTTATTGTATTAAATACTATATGATAATTCAAATAAAGTTTCATGTACCAGCAATTACAATATTTATAAAAGGATCAAATAATCCTTTATTACGGGTGTTTTTAATGCTTTTTCACAGGCTTTTTATGATTTTAAGCGATTGTTGTGATAATTTCAGAAGATATATAATACTTGTTAATAATTATAAGTGTGTTTAATATTAATCTATTTTACTGAGTGCATGAGAAATAAACTTAAATTCAGAAATACATAAAATCACATATTCATATATTAATTTATAAAATAAAGTAGCATCTTAAACATAGACCCACTTATTTATAATTTGTGAATTATATATAAAAAAGATAATACTTGTGCTATTAAAATAACAAGAACTATGTTTGCCCAAGCCACCAAGTTATCTTGTTACTTTGGGGAAACAAAGATTCCTTAAAAGACTTCTTTTTAAATTTAAATAGTGAAAAAGTTGATAGAAAGAAAAGTGAATGAAACTAAAGTATGATTATTTATTTATTCCTTTCTTTGGCTCCAATTCACATTGCTTTCAGAATTATAATGAAAAGCACCGATGAATCATACTAATATATATATAATTATAGATAAATATAATATAATAGATATATATACTATAATATATATATATTATAAATAAAATTATCAAAAACTGACCACTTCTAAAGCCCTCCGTCTTTTGAGCTTCATCGTGAAACAAAGAGCATTGCCAGAAGGGGTAACGATGATCAAACGCGATCAATTCTCAATCAATCGAGAACTGATCGAAGAAGCAGAGGTAGGGTTTAGAGAGAGTGAGGGAAGTGTGAGTATCGGTACCGGTATGTATACACAGAAGGAAGAAGGTGATCGGATCCTGAAAAGAAAGTGAAATTGAGGGTTTGGGAATGAAAATTAGGGTTTTGGAATTGCGATGCGATCGCACAAGAGAGAGAGAAAGGGGAAAAAAATTTAAAGAGTGAGAAGAGAAATAGAGAGGAGAAGCGTTTGGGGATGGAGTTTATATAGGTGGAGAAAATAAAGAAGAGGAGTGAGTGAATGACTGAATGAAAAAAAGGAAAGGAGGGGATTGGGAGGAGAGAGGAAATTGAATTTGCACACATTTTCAATTTTTTTTATTTGTTTTTTTAATTATTATTCTAGTTTTAAAATAGTCTAAATTAAATAAATCTAAAATATGTATTATCATTTTTTTATAATCCCAAAATCTCCTCATTTCCACCAAAAATCATATCAATAGAAAATAAGTGAATATTTTCGTAAACATCTCTTGCTCTGCTCGAGGGATAAACGAGATTGATTAACTGGTAGATGGTTATGATCTAAAGACATAAGGTGTCACTCGTGCCCTTTCAGAGTAAGAACGAATAGAAAAAATGTCTTGAGCCAATATTGAATATTAGGGTATCCATCCGTGAGTATCTGGGATGGTTTGAGCGAATTGAAGATAATGTGGATAGACGTACAGTCTCATGTTCGATTCCTCATTTGAGCATCTGCTGTTTAAGCAAGAATCGTGACAATGAGTTGCTATGTTAGTCTCTCTAAAGATTGGTCAAAATGCATGTAAGTTGGTCTTGACAACTTGGTTACCAAAAAAAATTACTAGGCGATATGGCACTAATGTAACCCATGTTATATTCTTATGGAAAGCTCAAACGACCTTCAACAAAAAGGGTAGCCATATCCGAAACTTAAACACTCGACAATCTTTGAAAAACGAAAAACTATAACTCATGAGAGTATAAACCTAAATTTTTACAAGAAAAAGCAATATTTTGAATAATTTACAAGCCTAATAATAATTACTAATTAGTAGTTAGTTTAAAATGGCAAGAATTAAGGAACTAAACTAAAACAACACTAAAGAAGATAAAAAAATTATTGGATGTAAAAAGAAAACATCACTATATTTTTGTCAATTTCATCTATGAAATTAAAGTGAATCATACTAATTTATATTAATTATTATTTAATGAATCATACTAATTATATAATTATTATATATATATATATATTTTTTTTTTTTTTTTTATTTGTCAAAAGGAAGTAGGCATAGGACCAAAGTTTTTGGCTTTATACTTTTGGAGGTTTAATTGGTAAAATGAGTCATAGACTTGTTGGGAATTGCTTAGTATTGAAGAAAGAGTATTGGAAGGTTTGAGACATTGTGGAAGTTTAGATTATCACTAATAATATGGAACATTTAGGCTAAAAATTTATTTAATTGTACAATAATACCCACAAATGAAATTAAGTCGACTTTCTAATTTAATTGTACAATAATACCCACAAATGAAATTAAGTCGACTTTCTAATTTAATTGTATTAATTTGATAATACTATCGGACTAGATATTTAAGATAATCCAGACAAAAGATTATACGAAGATGTTTTTTGGGATAAACAAACAAATAATGTATTATATAGGAGATTGTATCTTTGATAATGTTATTAGATCAAATATTATATGATGATTCTAATAAAGTTTAATGTACCGGAAATTGCGATCTTTATAAAATATCAAATAGTCCTTTATTACGGGTTTTTAATGCTTTTCACAGGCTTTTTATGATTTTAAGCGATTGTTGTGAAAATTTCAAAAGAATAAATACTTGTTAAAATTATAAGTTGTGTTAATATTAATCTATTTACTGAGTGCATGAGAAATAAACTTAAATTCATAAATTCATAAATACATAAAATCACATCTTATATTAATTTATAAAATAAAGTAGATCTTAAACATAGACCTACTTATTTATAATTTGTGTATATATAAAAAAGATAATACGTGGCTATTAAATAACAAAGAACTATGTTTGCCCAAGCCACCAAGTTATCTTGTTACTTTGGGGAAACAAAGATTCCTTAAAAGACTTTTTTAAATTTAAATAGTGGAAAAGTTGATAGAAAGAAAAGTGAATGAAACTAAAGTATGATTATTTATTTATTCCTTTCTTTGGCTCCAATTCACATAGCTTTCAGAATTATAATGAAAAGCACACATGAATGCAAACATTGGGTTCTATTGGGTTGGACTAGAAATGGATAGGGGCTGATCAGCCCAATGGCCCAACCCATATGAAGTCTATTTGAATGTTTTTTTTTTTTTTTTTCATATATATAAATCCCAAAATCATCCAAATTTATCTTGAAAATCCCATATAAAACTGGAGTCATTTATTACTTAATAAATTTAAAATTCTTGGAAAATCATAATGAAAAGCACACATGAATGCAACCATTGTGCTTCTTGGGTGGATTAGATAAAAAATAGGGTGATCAGCCCAATGGCCCAACCCATAATGAAGTCTATTTGTATTTCCTAAAATTGGGGTCGGCTTCTGTTTCCTAAACCCAGACGTCATGGGCGTCATGTTCTGTTCTGCATCGGATTTATGAGTAAGGCTCTGTTATGTTTTTTCTTCTTTTTGGTTAATCAGTTACATTACGTTCAATTTTGTAAATTATATTTAAGTCTGTTAATGCGAATATTACAGATTTGAAGATAATCGCTAAGATAGTGGATAGAATTTCAGATTTGAAGATAATGAATAAGATAGTAGATGGATTTCAGGGTTGCCTCCTTTTATAATTCATTTTGGTAAATCGAATTAGTATATTATCTAAGAGATGGAATCACATTACGGATAACTTCCCTATCTTTTATTTTGATCAAACTTATTTCCTCACTGATCAAATTACATCAAGAGTTTCAAGAGACCAGATTGGCACCCTGTGATCGTTTGAATGAATTTATGGAATTGTTGATGCTTCTCTGCTTTGGTTTACGAGCTCAACTTTTTGTGGCACAAATTTAGGGTTCATAAGTATTCTTGATATTAAAGAATCGGCGCCTTATGTTGATAAATGGATAGGATTGGCCATACAAAGGGGGGTTAAAGAGTTTGACTAATTCTTAAAAGATAGTGATGCAACCATACACTTTGCCTCAGACAATATTTTCTGCTAGATTACTTACTACTCTAAATTTAGTTAACTGTAAGTTGGATAATATCTCAGATACTATCGGGTTTAATTTTCTTAGAAAGCTATATTTGGAGCGGGTTTTTATGAGTGAAGAGACGGTGCAAAAGCTTAGTAGTGAATGCCCTTTACTTGAAGAAATGTTTTTTTTAGGGATGTTGGGGTTTTAAGCGATTGTGTGTTTCAAAAGCTCTCAATCAGAAGATAATGAAATTCAACTTATATGCAATTGAAATTGTTGAAATTGTTGAGATTGTTGTTCCAAATCTTCAAGAGTTAAGCTTTGAATTTGGCAAGAGGAGAATGCTAATAGTGTTTAACATTATTGGGTGCTCACAGTTGAAAAAGTTAAAGTTTGTGGGCTTTAGCTTACAGACCAACAGTTTCATCATGTTATCTCAACATTTCCCCTGCTTGAGGATCTGTTGCGATTTACTTGAAAGAATTACAATTTCAAGTAATCAGCTTAAGAAGTTTCAAGTTATTAGTTGTGCCAAGATGAAGACACTTGACCTTGATACTCCAAATTTGCTTTCCTTTGGATATGAAGATAGTCCCATTCCCACTTCTCGTATAAATGCATTATGTCCATGGCAAGTTAATTTTACGTTTGACACTCAGTGTTGCTTAAAACTTAGGGAATTTCTCGAAGTATCTAATCAAATTGAAACTATAAGGATATTTGGAGTCTCAACTGTGGTATGTGTATAAATTCCATGTATGTAATTATTAGAATCTCACTTCACTTTTATTACATTTGTTTATGATCTTTCTCAGCCACTTATTGTTTTGTTTTGCTTGGTTTTTTTATTTTTCAGAGTTCTTTTAAGTTAGAAGAATTGAAGAAAAGTTTTCCATCGCTCCTTTGTAATGTTGGGAATCTTCAGTTACGTACAAACGTACCACCGTCAAAATACATGATTTTGTTGGATTGTTTTCTCTGAATTTGTTATCCTAGGACTTTGTCTTTGGAAACATTTTCTCGCATGCCCCAGCTCAAATTATTTAAGGTATGTAATGATATATTTTTTTTTTTAAGCTACCATAATATGATTTAGTGAAATGAAATTAGTTCTAGGAAAGAGTAATTACATCATCTTAAGATGAAATGTTTTTTCATTATAAGATCAGAGATTGTTTCCAATTAGTCATTTAAGCCCAAGGACAATGTTTCAAGTGAATTAATTATTTGATATTTGCTTGAATTTCAGTCATTCTATAACGAACTAAAGAATAGAGATGTGAGCTGTTGCAATTCTCATGATATCAAATGTTGGCAGCACTACTTAAAAGATATTAAGGTCGAACATTGCATAGATCTTAACGATAGCAAAGTAGTTGGTGCTGATAGTGATCTTTGGTCTATCCTTCCTAAAGGATTTATAAAGTTACGACTTGATTGGTGTTTCCCAGTGAGCACTGAGAATTCATAAGTTTTTTCTTTTTTTTTTTGATATGACGATGTTATCTATGTGGAAGAGAAGCTTAGTTCTTAAGAGTGAGGACAGTTTGGGATTAATGTAATTTTTATATTTAATTTATTGTAGAAATTATCATCTTCAAATATAAGTTATAGTGTTAGATAAAATTTATTTTTAAAATAGCAATTTAATTGCATTGAAAAGGACTAAAATATTTATCCTATTTGAATATATTTTTGAATGGGCAGTATTAATCTATTTTGGAATGACTAGTGTTACTCTATGGCATAATACCTTATTTCTGGCTCATTTGTAACCCAGATCACCCAGTTTCGCAGTTTCTTTCTCTCAACTTATTGTTGCCCCAATAATCAATTTTTTAAAATTTACTGTAACTTTTCAAAGCAAAAATTGCTTCTATAATACAATGAAATTTAACATTGTATCATAGAATGACAGGGCCTGGTGCTTTTGCATCTGAATTTATTTCATCAACTGATTTGAGATCTGTCAGGGAATTATATAGCCTTATAATTTGGCAGTATAGTTTATGTAATGCTACCAAGTGTAACGAATCTTACATCGAAAGTGTATTGGGGAGGTCATGGGCTTATAAATGGGAGGAGTCTTTTCATCTACTAAGTTAGCCTTTTGGTGTAAAACTCCCAACCCGTGACAAGTGATATCAACAGACCTGATTTGTCTTTTGATGTCCCACTCCTGCCAAGCACCCACGCTGGGGTGTTCACGTGTGATTGTGGATCCATACAAGAGTGAGGTGGACGGATAGGCAAGGGGCCTCACCTGTGACGCCCTTATCACAGGATTGAGTAGGGGAGAATGTAACAAATCCTACATCGAAAGCATATTGGAGAGGTCCTGGGCTTATAAATGGGAAGAGTCCCTCTACCTAATAGGTTAATCTTTTAGGTGTGAAACTCCTAACCCGTGACACAAGGCAGATGATGAGAAGAGGAATGCTGATGATCAAGAGGCAAATTCGTCTACTGTGATTGATCATGATGAAAATAATATTCAGGCAGCTGAGAATAATGTTTCACAACCACTTTGGGTTAGATAGGTGAGTGTCTTTCATTGGTTTGTGGTTGTGGTTTCCATGATTTGAAGAAGAAAAATTCCGATAATGTTTACTTAATGAGAATGCTCGAAAAATTGGCTTTCCACATTTCACTCTTTCCTCACAGGTCTCATGGTGGGATTCGCCTCGCATCATGGTGATGAGCTACTCACTGTATTTGAAGATAATTTTGACTATGATGATGATTTACCTGCCGATTATTTCTCGACTTCAGAAAATTGAAGGAAATTTGCAGGTGTCCTGACTGCATTTTCTCTTGAGGCCTTCAATTCTTTCAACCGCTATGCTTCTTTTGGACTTGATATGAACCCAGCCCTACCAGTTCAGTATCGGTATCTTCAAAGGGTTCTACCAGATATTATTGTGGTCTCTTGCTAGACAATGTATTTTTTATACGCTGACGGCACATTTCTTTCATGCCTATGGATTATTTAGGGTTCTACTCATCACATTTCAATGTGACAGTCAGATTTTATGGCTTAATTCTGATGATCCTTCTGATCTAAGTTATCCTGCTGGATTTTTCGATACGCTGCAAATGATAAAGTAACACAAGTACACCAAATTATCAAGTCGATGTACAAACAGAGCTTAGTGACAGGGAAAGACCCAAATAGTTGTTTTGATTTTTTAGGAAACTCAAGCTGAATGGGGCCGAATGAGATCGACCTACTGCCTATCTGTAACCACCACAAGTTTCAGAATCTTAGTCCAGGTTTTATTGAGGCAGTTATTTCGCTTTATAAAATGTTGCATAATTGAAGCAAAACTACATTGGTGTTTCAGTTCATTTTTGTATGTGATATAGACTAATAGTCATCTCAGTAACATTACCGAGTCAACACTTTAGTACTACTCTCGAAGATGAAGGCAATAACCGGTACCAACCAAAATGAACTTGAAACCAAATGAATGATAAATCTCTAACATAAGAATACCAAAGACGAACATATATGAATATATTGTGACGATAAAATAACTCAAAAATGAAATAAATTTAAACATCTACCAATTTGGCATTTCACCAGGCACAGCCTGCCTGAACGACCACCAGAATTGGATGAGTTATTTAAGACTTTGTTGCGCCTTCGCTTCATTAGTAAGCTTGCAACTGATCATCAAAGTAGGTGTATGACCAAAAGTAACAACAACGCTAAGTTTGGAGGCTTTCTATATGAATAACGATCCTCAGTAGGCCTAGCCATTCAATCATGGAGGACAGCATTTGTAGAGATAGCTTCAGAAGTCATACCACCATCAATAATACATCAAAAGAATCCGTAATCCCACTTAGTAAGATTATTTCTAATCTCCGATCATAGCAAATAAACTCTCATTTTTCAGGGACAACCAAAATGAGACGTCTGATGGCTTCCGCTCTGGTCTTTGATACCTTTTCTAAAGAGGGAAATCCCCATGAGTGACCCCATTGTTATCACACTTAAGCAGTCAGCTTAAGAGTGTCAAGAAAAAATCCCCCTGACTTCAATATTGACAAGAACAGTTACCGTGCATTTCTTCAGTCGTCTCTGTCGCTGATCTCAAAGACCAAGTATTTAGCCACAGATGCAGTGGTGGGGCTCAATAATTTTCCTTTCGCGAATTTACTGAAAGAAATTGACAGCCTTTTCTTACGTGCAGAATTGCTGAGGTTCTTTGAGGCTTTGATGAGACGTTTTCCAACTTCTGTTTTCACAGGCTTACTTCTTGGACTTCCAAGATTGGAGTTGGTTGGTGATGGAAAAGAGAATGTCTTCAGTGGATTTATGACTGAATACTTTGCCGAGGCATCAATTCGTGTGCTTGATGATTTGTTATCTGTTCTTGCCCTCTTTTGTTTTTGGGAGTGATTATGAATGGTTCTGGAATCAACATTGCCACCTGACGAACTACCAAGTCTACTTGCGCATCCCTCAAAATTCTCATCTTCTTTGCACTCAATGAAGTTATTTACTCTCTTGCTTCTCTTCCTCTTTCCATTGGACAGAAGTATAGTTCTTGAAAGCTCTTCCGATAGAGGAATGGCGCCATTTAAACTCTTCACCTTCTTCGTCTTACAATTGCTCATAATGCTTTTCTTTTTAGTGCCTGTAATTAGGGGACCATCGATATTGCTGCCATCAAGATTATGATCTCCACATTTTTCCTCTATAAACTGGGATAAACTTGGCCTATCCAAACCAGTCAAAGGCCTTGCTTCCATATGAAGAAACCATGTTCCTTTCAGATTCTGGAATGCATACTTTACAGGGACTGCATCTGGCAGATGGTAAAAACTTGACCTCCGCTTCACCTACTAGAAAATGGAACACATAATACGCAGCATGTACTAACAGTGAAGAAGTATTACAGAACCCAAAAGTAGAGAGTCAAAATAAAAGGGAAATAACCAAATAAGGGATGTACCATNTTTCCTCTATAAACTGGGATAAACTTGGCCTATCCAAACCAGTCAAAGGCCTTGCTTCCATATGAAGAAACCATGTTCCTTTCAGATTCTGGAATGCATACTTTACAGGGACTGAATCTGGCAGATGGTAAAAACTTGACCTCCGCTTCACCTACTAGAAAATGGAACACATAACACGCAGCATGTACTAACAGTGAAGAAGTATTACAGAACCCAAAAGTAGAGAGTCAAAATAAAAGGGAAATAACCAAATAAGGGATGTACCATTAATCCATAAACTTCAATCTCCCCTATTTTTGGGAAACAACTGAAGTGTGTTTTTGCAAGTTCTCCTACAAAACAATATTTGAATATATTACTTCTGCATGAATGAATTAAAACAAAATAACATATAAGTGCATCAGCATATCACTAACAAATCCATTGAAGATTTTGCAGACAAGAAGAACATGAGAAGATGTGAAATCTCCGACGATCATAGTAAACTCTGACAACCATAGCATTGTTGAGTCGTTGAGAGCACATACAGGTCATTGATAGTACTTGAAGAAATTATTTCATGGAAGATAAAACCAGCGAGCAAAGATATGGAACCAACGGGAGAAATGTGAAGTCTCATTACATAACAATGTTTTTCCTACACAAAACAAGCTCGTTTTTCTTTTATTCTCTCAAAGTTCAGATATTTTCATGCACATTTATCCACATTAAGTTCCACTACGACAAAATTCTAAAGGAATTGAACACTTAAGCTGATTTGACCTATATCCTCCCAATTTTTATTCTCATTGGGTGAATATTCTTAGCCCATAACCAATATTCATATAAAAATAGCAATGATCAAAACAAAACCAAACAAAACTGGCTCCTAGTGAAGAATCAAATACAGAAAACACTCAAAAACAAGCAATACCCAGATAACAAAATGTCGAAAGAACTGATTTTTTGAACTAACCAGAAGCAAGAGAAGTAGAAACAATGAAACCGAAAGTAAATCAATAGATAATGGAAGAGAAAGTTCAAAAAGAAGAAACAGAAATAAAAGGTTGCTGTTGGCTTACTTTTGAAATCTCCAGTTGTGATATCTGGAGAGACAGCCATAGCAATGTGAGTTCCCAAGTTTGTGTCTGTAAAAACTGGAACCTCTCCGGTTGAAGAAGCCATCGTTCACTCGGTTACCGTGGCCGCACTGGCAAGTGAAAACTAATAAAGTAATTATCGGGGGTGCTTTGTTTATGCTTGTTTTGGGGTGTCATTATTAGTTTATAAAACTCATGGGGGTTTAAATAATTTTTTAGATACTTATATAATCACAGAAACCCCCACGTTTGCATTTAAGAGTGAGAGAGAAAAAAAATCAACCTTCAGCACTTCAGTTTATTGGGTCTGACAGCTCAGCTTGTCAATGGCACAAGTTGCCTTTCTTCCTCGGATAATTGTCTCTGCAGACACAAGCAAAGCTCCATTGAAGCCACTGAGAAGAACCCAGAGGTCTAGAACTTCCATTTCTACTAATAAAAGAGGTAACTAAAACTCCTTGTGTGATTCCTGAGAAAAATGCAACGTAACTTTTTAATTAAGAGCTAATAAAGTTTGAAACTTGGCTGAAACAAAGTATTATATCCATCTGGGGTTCTTAAATATTCATGCTTTGTTTTATTGGTTGCGTTTGTAGTGCTAAAACAGAGAACTTTTAAGACCCCATCAAAAGCTTTGATGAATGAGGTTAATAAGACTATAGATAGCTCAGTTGGGGTTCAGAAGTTTGTTTTGTTTGCTTTTTGGTGGAATTTAATGGTGTGCTTTAGCACTTTACGATTATAATATAAATTTTATGTTCAGTTCCTCGCAGTCCTTTACAAAGAACCAAGTTGAATGTGGAGGTTTCTCCTCACAGAGCTGGTATTACTCTCCTCTCTCATCTGTTATATGAGAACTCGATTTTGATTGTGTTGCTTGTGTTCCATTTTCAGCTGACTTCAACAATGATTATTTAAATTTTCTTATAACTGGACATAAAACTCAAGTCGTTGAATTTTGAAGCTAATGATTAATCAGTTTGAAAATTTGACATGAAGGTGTGGCAGTCTTTATATTTATTTTTGGTTTCATTTCTTATGCCGGTTTCTTTATGACTTGTATAGTGTCAGCTGTGAGGTTGATGAGAATAGAGCTAGGTGGTGCATTTGCTGACCTCTTGAATGAGAAAGGGAAAGGCTCTGGTGATAATGAGATGGGATATGTTGAGAGAACTCTTGGATTTTGCACTAAAGAATTAGATTATCGAGATCTTAGATTGGTAGTTTCTCATCCTGTTCTCTTCTCATGTACATTTGCCTTATAATTTCCCCATTATTTTGGTTTCAGAGGTGTTCACAGAAATATTTACAACCTGTTTAGAGGATTAGACCCGTATTTTGATATCCTTTTAATAGAAGTGCAAAAAATAATTCCTAGTATTAAAAAAAATACAATCTTCCAACGTGGCAGAAAAATGTTTAACCTTCTTCTTTCAAATTTAAATGTATAGGTCACTGATGTTGTTGGGGGTACAATTCGTTGGAGGAGATATCTTGATCATTTGATTTGTTCACTATGCCATGAAGAGAGCACATTTAGACACATGGAACCTCTACTTTTGCAGGTATTTTTTTTTTCTTTTTACGTATTTCGTGTGGGCCTTTTCTGTTTGCAATGTATCATCAAGGCTGGATAGTATATAATATAAAATTTCTTTTGTGCTTACCTTTGCAGATTCTAAGAATTGGTGTCTATGAGATTGTCAAGCTAGATATGCCACCATATGCTGTTGTAGATGAGGTAAACTTCATTCTCTCTCTCACATGAAAAAAAGAAAAAAAGATTCTCCTGATAAATGCTTCATGTTTGAAAGGTAAACTGTAAGAATTTTATGCTTATTTAAAATCATTGTAGAATATAATGAACTCTGAGAGGAATATAAGTAACTCCCCAGTTTTAAGAGACTTTTGGAATGGATGTGGTAGACATGCTCTTCGTTATTAGTGGAAGTGTGAAGTAGTTTTTCTTCATCCACCCTCATGATAGCATGTTCCTCCAATTCACCTTCTAGTCTTAATATGTGGCATCCTTTGTAGTTTGGGTCTAGGAACTCTACATTTATGAGTTTGATGTTAAGTTGGATCTGTCCTGTGGTCAGATTTCGGCCCCAATATTTCTTCTGCCTTCAAATTTTTGGAGATTATATTATTGTAAATTATCTCTTGCAATCATATATCAGACAGTCTTAGTGTTTTGCTCATCACCAGTGCTGTGTTTGACTGCAGAACGTGAGACTTGCGAAGGTTGCTCTAAGACCTGGTGCTGGTAATATGGTCAATGGGATTCTGCGGAAGCTAGTGGTACTTAAGGTTTGTTGCTTTCTCTATCCATTATGGTTAATGGTATGACACGTTCAGGTTTTGATGAACTTGTGACATTTTTGAAATTGCAGGAAAAAAATTCTCTTCCTCTACCAATATTGGAAGGTGATGATCGTGCCCAAGCACGTGCTCTGGCCACACTTCATTCTCATCCTGTTGTGAGTTTATCACTACAACTTCTTCATTCTTCTGTTTTCCATTCTATTATTCTCATCCTTCCCAATGCCTTTATCTATTTTGATGATATCCTTTTTCTTTCTGTTTATATACTGAATCCTGGGCAAACTGTTACAATATTTTTATCATATTGATAGAACTCATGCAATCATGACAACTGATATCATTATTGAAACAAAGATTTACCTTTTTAGTGGATGGTAAGGCGATGGACAAAGTACCGTGGACAAGAGGAAGCAATTAAATTGATGGTGTGGAACAACAGCGATCCCGGTTTTAGCTTGAGGTTTCTGGCTGAATTTTCTTTTCTTTTATGTGTAACATTACATGGATCTCATAGCTACCTCTCCTGATTCTGATATCAGAGCAAACGTTGGAAGAGGTGTTACAAGAGCTGACCTTGTGAAGCAGCTTAATTTGTTGAAGGTGCTTAGAGTTTTTTCCTTTTGTTCCTTTTCTTTTTCCAAATTCATTAAGTTTCCTTTCGATGTTGAAGATTCTTTTGCATGGATGGTGTTAACTTGATATCTGGGTTATGATTGCAGTTGAATTTTTTGTTTTTCATTGACATTCGAATTAGTACAACTTAATCTTCATTGCTAGAGCCCTCTCTCACATTATTACGTGCGCATACTTTGTTTTCTCTTTGATTACTTGTCTTGGCTGTACCATCTGTGGTAGATAGATGTGTCCAACTACTAATTTGTGGCTCTTAAGCTGCAGGTGTCACATGAGCTCTCATTGTATTTGGATGATTTTATCCGCATGAAAACTGGATTGCAGGTATGAGTGCACTATAGAACATCAGGTTTATTCTTGTCTGGTTTGCTAACTTCTGGAAAGAACCAATAGTTTGAATATGTTCTTGGACAGTACATCGATAATAATCTTTCTTTTTCAGGGGGCAAGGTAATGCTTCCTACAGAAAAGATGCATCTACTGCTATCAATTCAACTATTGGTTGCCCATTAAAGTAATATTAGGGTCCTAATTACCTTATTTTCATGTTTTAGACTGTTATACAAGCGGGATTACTGAAACAAGGTTTATGTGCAGTCCAAGATGAGAGTGCAGGTTAATATTTTCATCCTTCTTCCAAGCAGACACCTTCTAAACTAATGCACTTGAATATCGTATGAAGTGATTTGTGTTAGATGTACCATGAATGAAATATTTGTACTTCTTTTGTGGTATGGACATTTTTCATCAATCTCATGATTTTATCAGGAGTATACATGAAAATGCATGCATGGTTTTATATATATGTGCATCATGCGTACTTTAATTCCTATATTCTATATTCTAGGGTAAAACGATTTTCAAAATCTGGTTCTACTTTTTATTCTAATCGCACAACATCCAATTATTCATGTCACATCATTGCAGGTTTGGTAGTTTCTATTGTGGATGCTCAACCGGGTGAGAGCATTGTTGACTGCTGTGCTGCTCCTGGAGGAAAAACAGTTTATATGGCATCCCGTATGAGTGGCCAAGGTAAGCTAATCCATATCTGCCAGTTAAAGTGATATCCACCTTTTTTTTTTTTGGGTAAATGTGAAAACTTCATTGAATGGAGGGCCTTTCCCATGCTAATCCTTGCTCAAACCTACTGAGCTTGGCTGGCTCCATTTTCAGGCTCCAAATTCTTCTCTGTGATACTGCAATACTGACTTCTCTTGTAAATGTTGTATAAACCCTTTTGTTTTATTGAATGAGTCTGAATCAGTGATGGTATTACTTGTTATTGGGAACGATTTCAAATGATATATGGCTGGTGCATTGTTGGGTTACAGGCATGGTATATGCAATTGACATTAACAAAGGACGGTTGAGAATCCTTAGAGAGACAGCCAAGTTGCACCAAGTTAGTAGTGTCATCACAACCATCCACAGTGATTTTCGTATCTTTGCAGTAAGTTATCACTCTGTAGGACGGAAGAATTTTCAGGAAGATTTAACTTCTTACATGTTTTCTACTTTTGTATATCTAATATATTAGGACAGTGAGTTGGCAAAGTATGACAAAGTTCTATTGGATGCTCCGTGTTCTGGACTTGGTGTCCTCTCCAAGGTATGTGAACACTCGTTCCGTAAAATGTTTAATTACGCAAGTTTTCGCGACATTGGGGATGTCTTTCATCTGTAAGTTGAGAGACCTGTTTAATTATTTTGTTCGTCTTTTTTGACTTACTTAAGAGGGCAGACTTGCGTTGGAATAAGAGCTTGGAAGATTTGGAAGAACTTAAAAATTTGCAGGATGAGCTCCTTGATGCAGCTTCCTTGTGAGACTCTCTTACAACGCTCTCTCTGTTTCTCTCTTCTCAGAAATGTATGATTTCAATCGTCTTCTTACAAATGTTTATCTTGCTTTGTAGACTCGTAAAGCCGGGTGGAGTTTTGATTTACAGTACCTGCTCCATAGACCCTGAAGAGAATGAAGAAAGGGTGGACGCATTTCTTCTCAGGCATCCGGTAAGAGCTGCATACGCTACTCAAATCATTTCTCCTTTTCTTTGGTGATTATTTAGCATTAAAATTAAAGGGTAAGTGACATTTTCTATCTTGTGCCAGGAATTCAGTGTTGACCCTGTTGATAGATTTGTTCCACCTGATTTTGTATCAGAACGCAGTTTCTATTATTCCGATCCAGTAAAACATTCACTAGATGGTGCCTTTGCTGCACGTCTAGTTCGAGCCTTGTAAAGAAACGTTAGTAAACCAACTCTAATATTCTCTATGCTTTTCAATGAACCAAAATCCCCATGACCATTAAACCTTCTGCCGAATTTCAGGCCATCAAACCTCATGTTGGGAACCCAAATTTTGTCCGAAGTATACACTGCATGTTTCTGCATACCAGTTCTGGAAACATAACCAAAAGAAGATGGTGGTTCAGCCCCGACTAACTAGCTTCCATTGACACCCGCGTGTCAGCTGATGACATCGGACAACAACAAGACAAGTGACAACTACTTGAGGAGGCTATTAACAATGCATTCTGATTGATTTTGACAGAGAAGAATTACAGGCATTTCCCTCCATTCATGATCTGCAAAATGTTCATTGTTCATATCTGTTAATTACATTTTGCCTTAGTGGTCACTTTGAGGTTTTGGCAGTAGAATGATTAACATTATCTAATCTGGAATGAATCATGGAACAAGATATGTGTACCATCCTGTTAATTTTTAGCGTTATGCACTTATCATAAATAATTATATAATATGCTTAGATTTATTGGATTTGTTGCTCAAATATTGATGCCAAACTCAAAACTCCCGGTGAATGGCCGGTGAATCGAGGAAATAAAACAATTAGAGAACCGATTTCTCAGTTTCAAAAATTTTCAACCGTTAGAGAAGTATTATCCACTCTTTGTTATTGTTTCAAAGTGTGAACGGTAAATTCCAATAAATATATTATGAAAAATAGTTTACAACTTAATCTTATAAATTTTTTTTTTACAATTCTAACGCGACAGCTTATTATTGATCAATTCGTAATTGGATAATTAAAACTTATTTATAAGCTGATCTATTGTAAACTGCACTGCCGAATTAAGGTTGTAAGATTTGAGTTGTAATATATTATCCATAAATATATTATGATATGAGTTTAACAATGAAATATTAAAAATTTTATAAATGAAACTCAAAACGGTGTCGTTCCACAACTACTAAATCATCCCCGTATCCCTCTCTAAAACCCCAAACAGCATTCATTCACATTCATCAGGATGAAGAAACGATGGCCGGTGGCGTCACTCGCTCGCGCCCTAACTCACTCATACTGCTCTTCCACCACGACAACGACGCCGTTCCCCCTAAAACACGTAACGAAATCCAACTTCGACTCCGCGCTCAGCTCGCTCCGCCACCACATCCGCTCCGCCGATTTCGTCGCGGTCGACCTCGAAATGACCGGAGTCACCAGCGCTCCCTGGCGCGACTCGTTCGAGTTCGACCGTTATGATGTCCATTACCTGAAAGTTAAAGACTCTGCTGAGAAGTTCGCCGTCGTTCAGTTCGGCGTTTGCCCCTTCCGTTGGGACCCCCTCAACCGCTCCTTTATCGCGCACCCGTAATTTTAAACTTTCCTTCTCTCAGTATTAATGAATTGGCGCATGCTGGTTTGTGTTCAGAACGTAATTTTAAAAAATATTAAATTCAAATCGATAGTGATACAATGTCATTTTTTGCAGGCACAATTTCTTTATATTTCCTCGTCAAGAGGTTTCGATTGATGGCCCTGCTTACGAGTTCCTTTGTCAGACAGCATCAATGGATTTCTTGGCAAAGTACCAGTTTGATTTTAATGCCTGTTTTCATGAAGGTGGGTTTTTTTTCTTTATAAATTTTAAAGTTCTGATTTTTATTTGGTATTTGATGCATATTCTTGTATAGTTTATGGTTGTTGCTTCAAAGTTTATAAAGCTTGGCTTGTAAGGTTGAGAAAAGGGGATAAAATGCGGAGAAATATCTTGTTTGGGAGTGCTTTTGTAAAGGGCATTTTCCGAGTAAATATGCTTTTTAAGAAAAGCCACTGAAAAGACCTTCTTGCAAGTGCTTTTGCAAAATGATACCTAGACAGTTCTTTCTAGGAGAGAAAATTATGAAGTGCCTCTTTGAAAAGAATTCTAAATGCAGTTTTTATCCAGTGAAGCTCTTTTCTTTTGTCTATTTTGGCTAAACACTAGAAAATAACCTTATAAAGCACCTGCTAATGTGTCATAATTGGTCTTTTAAGATGCTTTCAGTATGAGATTCACAAGCTTAATTAATCTCAGGGGTATCTTATTTATCCAGAGAACAAGAAGAGGAAGCTCTTAGATACATGAATTCACTGTATGAGGATAAGTCGTGGGATTCATGGGGTGACTTGAAAGAAGCTAGAGATATGCCATTGGTCAACATAGCGGACGTTCTGTTTACTGAAAGAATGAAGCATAGATTGAGAGAATGGTATGATTGGTTATTACGTGATAGAAATGGACGGTCTTCATTTCCAGGTAGTTCAAATGACTCAGAGCAACAGTTTCAAACTATTTTCTACAAGATGCGTCCAGCAATTAGTCTGAATGGATTCACTTCTCATCAACTTAAGTTGATCCAATTGGTAATGCACTCTTATTTTTCCTTTACGTCCTATGTAGTTGTGAGTTATTGCTTCAGAAATCTGGTGTTGAACCTCATTGTTAGAGTTAGCTATCCTGATTTGGTTTATTATGTTGGTTGGTTTTATACGATATTTTACGGTTCAACAGGAGGGTCTTGTATATATATCTTTCCCTTCGCTTAGGATATTATGCTTGCACCACATCTTTTTAGCCAACAAGGACAGACTTTTTGCATGACCTGGTCTGCCAATTTAATCATTTACTCTGGACTAATTGACAATTTTTTTGCCATGGGAAGCCGACCTCCTCTTTTTAATGCTTAGTGGCTTTGATCTTATCCAACAAATTTAGGTTATCTTTTTAGTGTTCATTAAGACTTTCTCTTTTTTTAGATATAATATTTCCTTTTTCTTTTCATGAAGGATTTATAGTTGCTGCATATATTACCATTACTAATGAATAAAACTAAAAATATGCAGGTGGTAAACAAGCATTTCAAAGATCTGGTTTATCTTCGTGTCAAAGGGGAAAATTCATGTTCACAGCATCTTGTGGTGTATAATGAGTCAGAAGATGATAAGAAGTTACTTATGGTAAGAATGACTTTTGAAGGAACGAGATGTTTCTATAATACAAACCCTTTTTATAAGGGGGCTTGTTAATAGCTTCCTTTTAGTGGAATTGTAATTGTATTCTGCAATCCTTTCAAAAGGTCATAACATGTTTTCGAAAATAATTAGATGGATTAAGGTGTGGAGAGTCAATATAAAACAAGAATGTGAAGCTTCAGGGATCGAGGCATCTCATTTATGATAATATTAGTGACAATATTTATGGGGAAATCCAGAAATAGAAAATTTGAATATGAAATCTGTGTTTTCCCAATTTGTTTTTGCTTTCATATGCATCTTATTGAAGCTGGTGTTTCCTTAATCTTTCTGCAGAAAGAGGTGAAGGATGAGCAGCTCAGAGAGACAGAGATGAAGATAAAAGCTGCAATTGGGTTTCGCCATGTTATTGACTGCCTTTCCTCTGAAAAGAAGTTGATTGTTGGTCACAATTGCTTCCTAGGTATGACTATCTATCTCGAGATTCATGAAGGGCGTATAAAATATATTATTTAGAAATTTAATCTTTGTGATACAGATGTTGCACATATCTACGGCAAATTCTTAGGTGCTCTTCCTTTGACTGCTGAAGAATTCATTTCCTCTGTTAACAAATACCTTCCTCACATCATTGACACCAAAATATTGTTGAAGTGCAATGATGTACTAGTGCAACGGATGAAGAAATCTGGCACTTCATTATTCTCGGCATTTTCTAGATTGTGTCAACGGATTGCTATTGGTTCTAAAAGCTCTCATCTACTTATTCAGCCAAGTGTGAAAGTGGAGATTGAAGTGGATGATAACAGGTTTGTTTTTCCATTTCCTTTTTCTTCTTCAGTTGACATCTCTTCTAATTAAAATTCTGTACTGCTTGTTTCTATTAAAATTCACCAGCAGGTAACACTGAATTGTACTAGCTGCAATGTAAAACATATTTTGTTTGGTGTATAATATATCTTATCTATTTAAATTAAAAACTGAGGAAGGCTGGAAGTCAATTCTTCGAAATTTAAGTCACATCAAGTTTTTGTAATTTTTCCCAGTTTCATTACTGATGCATGTGCCATATTTCTGGATGTTGTGTCATAATCTCAAGAGTTATCTTCAAGTTATGGCATCTTTGCCAGGCACGTTAACTTGTCTAGTATTTTTTTATAAATGAATTAAATGCTACTTGTCATTTTTCTCCAAGTAGAATGACATCAGAAGTCCTTTCACACTGAGATGAATGTCTATCTGCAGATCCTCCGACTGGAACTCTGGAGTGAGGCATGAAGCTGGATATGATGCTTTTATGACAGGGTGTGTCTTTGCTCAAGCATGCAGTCATCTCGGCATTGATTTTACACTCCATTCATCCTCTGAAAATTTAGCACTCAATGAAAAACTCCAGAAGTACATCAACCTTCTTTATCTCAGTTGGAGCAATGGAGACATTATTAATCTAAGCTCCAGCAATTTGAGTTCTCTGTCCTCGGTTTCTAGTAGCAAATTGTACAGAAACACAAAGATTTTGTTCAGTCACATTGTTCTAGTATGGGGATTCCCATCCAAACTCAAGGCACGGGAGATTAGAGAATGCATCTCTAAAGTCTTTGGTTCAACCTCTGTGACTTCCGTGTATCATGTCGATGAAACTGCAGTGTTCGTTCAGTTCAAAAAGGAAGAAATGGTTCCCCTATTTCTGGAGTTGAAGGAAAGCTTGGAGAGCAGCAATGACGCAGTCTCGGTTTTGCATCCTCTTTCAAAACTGTTGAAAGGCGGAAATACTTGTGCTGCTAGTTACGAAACTTACAAAGAAATCTGCAGTTCACCCATCTCTAAAGTCTTGTTTGCCGATCAAGCAAAAGCAGTTGGTATCAAATGGAAGACCAAGTTGGTAGAATCCAAGGTAGAGGTGGAGACTCAAGAAAACAAAAGTTCCCACGAAGAACATTCACTGAACTCTGGTGAAAATACTACGATCAAGAAGATTGACGTAAGAAACGATCCATCACATAGCCAAGTTTCATCGGATGAAATTGATGATGATTCGTTTTACTCCACACAAATCAAACAGATAAGAACTAGTTTATGATTTAATTCTTTCTTTAAGCTGCTAGAACAATAATTTATAGGTAATCTTTACTCAATTCAGGAATTTTGTATGCAAAATTTTGTGATTGTAACACTAGGGGGAGTGCAGAAGAAATTAGTACTTCAGATGTTGTATTTTTATGGTGGCTTTTTCTGCAGCCAAGTTTCATCTTCGGTAAATGCTTGAAAACTTCTGACTTTATAAATAATATGATTCTTTCTTATTAACAAATTTCCATTTTTGTATTATTCCTAGTGTTCTATTTTATTATACAAACAGCTGCTTTCTTTAAGAAGAAACCTATATTGTTCTGCATTATTTTCTTGAGAGCTTGTTTGTGAGTACTTGCTAGATCAGCTTTATCATCTCTCTAGCTTCAGAGAAAATCTTCAACTTTGATTTTCAAAAATTAATGAACGGATAATATCATACCTGGGTCAAAACTCAAAAGGCCCGGATAGGCGAACCTTGCAGATTAAAAAACCTGGGCTCTTTCTTGGGCTCAAAGTCGGCAAGCCTGACTTGGAATTGGGACACAACACTCCGTTCGGCATATTATTTTTACCCATATTCTCAAAATAGTTGTTTGACATATTATTTAAGAAATATTAGTATATTTTTTTAATTACTTTTAGACCCCTTAAGTTTATTAATTTCATAAATACCCTCAGAAAAAAGTTTAAAAATTAACAAAAACACTCTCACCCACCCATATGTATTAGATTTCGGCAACCACCGTCGATGGTAATCAAAATCTGTCACAACTGCCTACAAACGATAGGAACTGGCCAGTAATTCCCTGATCTGGCCTTTTCCGGTCAGATCCACAGTGGATTTGGCTAGAAAATGCCAGACTATCGTTGACCGATAACGACGATTATATCCTTGACCGTGGCTGACGGCCAGATCTGGACTTTTGCGGCCGTCGACAGCCAGATTTGGTCATAGATCTGGCATTTTCTAGCAAAATTCGTGGTGGATCTGGCCGAAAAAGGCCATATCGACGCCTTACCCGCCAGATCCGACCGGTTTGTGTCGTAACACCATTTTTCGACCAGATTACGGTGGTGGTGGCTGGAATCTGGCACTGCAGGGTGGGTGGGGGTGTTTTTGTCATTTTACAAAATTTTTATATATTGGGGTGTTTAGTTAAATTAACAAACATATGAGGTTTTTTTTTTTTTTTAATTTTTAAATTTTACCTCTTAATACTCTCCTATTCATTACCCAATATTATTCCCAAAATCATATCTAAAATAATAAAACAAACGAACAATGTTTCAACTAGGCCTGCAAACAAGCCGAGTCGCTTGCGTTTCAAGTCGAGCCGAGTAAGTCTAATAACACTCGGACTCTAGCAACTAGTGAGCTTATTTGAGCTCGATTTATTATATAATATTTTACTTTTATATTAATATTACATATAAATTAAAATAATTATTAATTTTTTTTAACTATTTTAGTAATCGAGTCGAGCCGATCACATGTCTATCAAGCTCAAGCTTTGACTATACTAGTCAAGCCAAACTCAAGCTTCTTAATACTCAGTTCAACTCGGCTCGACTCAATTACAACCCTAGTTAATAGTTTCAACACGACTCTACTAAAGATATTCTTTAACCAGATACTTTATCTACCATCTTTAATTAGTAAATAGTTAATTGAAACTTCTTAAAATATGGTAAGTAATCTTCCAACCACAGGTAAATCCTCTCTAATTGTCTCAACTTTCCATACTTGGTAGTTTTAGACGGAAGTCATTACTGCTTTTTGTAAGTATCTGAAATAGAGTAACGTAAAACCTACATACTTTTGTATAGTTTGATGTAATATCATTTCATCACTGTTACATCAGACAAATAATCTCTTGACTTATACTAATTTATATGTTTAAATTTGTAAAAGTTTTAAAGAGTGAGATAAGTTAGCTCCTCGATCAAAACGCCGGTTTGGCAAAGTGTGGTTTACCACTTGATCATCACCCACCTTCCTTCTCTATAAATTGACTCCATTGGTGAGTGTTTACAGTGCCCCCATCAAAAGAGACAAAAAAGCTTCAGAGAGCTAGCCTTTCCTTTCTCCCCCCGCATAATATTTTCGAAGAGCCAAAGAAGTTTTGAAACTCTGAAAGCCATGGAACGTCAAGCCGGATTCAATAACTATCCCAACAAGCTCCCAAGACCATCAAGCTCTGGTAAACTAATCCACTCTCTTTTTGCTTTTTTTGATGATGTGTTTCATTATATTGAGTAATATATCTGTTTTGTTGCATGCATGGTGTGTTCTCTCTTTCGTTTTTGTTCTTGAAATTTTGGCTACATATAATGAACTAATGCATGCAGATTACTACGTTTTCTTATATCTTGATCATATATGTAAAGATTTGAGGGGTTTTAATTATTCATCTTTGAAAGTGATTTCATTTCAACACGATCACCATTTTCAAGTGAGTTCTTGAGGCCAAAAAGTCACATATTTATGGCCACCTTTTTGACCTTATTGCACTCTTCTTCTTTGTTTTACAGTAACGGTTGGTTTCTTTTCTGTCTCTTTGTCAAGTTCTTTTGTTCATAACTCTTTCTTCCATTTATCTTTATCTTTAGTACACGATGTATGAACATATATATCATAACATAATATAATAATATTTATACTCTTATTTAATTCTTCACTGACATGGCTTCCATGCAGTGAGTCTTCAGACTCTGCACCTCCAATCCTTGTATAGATCCTTTTCTTTTCAAAACCAAAAACTGTCATGTCGTTTCATATGTTAATTTTCTCGGGAAACAAACACTGTTTTATTGCGCCTGGTTGTCTGGTTAAGGAGTTAATGAAGATTATATTTAATAAATTCAGAAGACCTAAAAACACGACACTGTTATAGAGAAGAGCAAACGGCTTTTACTTTTTAGTTAATTAAAAACCTTAAGGCAAGAAAACAAAAGAATCTGAACAGTAATAGGTGGTGGGTCCCCTGTTTTCAGGTGAAAAGTGGAACCCATGTGGGATCCACACTTGTGCTTGGCATGGACAGCTATTTGCCATGTAGGCTTTGACGTGGCATTAATTATAGATGGTAATTCTCTACTTATAAACTTTTTATAAAATTAAAATTACGTGCTAAAACGGATAAGGTTACCATATTAGTTTCAAAGAATAATTTGTATATAACATTTGGTCTTACTTATTACCTTGTTAGGTTGGGTGTTAAGACTCATACTTGTTGCCTGGCATGTACAACTTGTTGCCATGTAGGATATGAGTTGGCATTAATGAGTTTTGTTTATATGTTATCTAGGTTCATTGGTCTATACTGGTACCGGGTAGTTCCTCGCCCGGTAACAATATATGGCCAATAACATTAATGATCCATAATTATTTATTTATTATGGTTAATCACGATAAAACTATTTATGTTTATAAGTCTATTAATGTAATTTGCCTTTGTTATCACATCTCTTTCTTTGGTTTCAGACTTGGTCATTCATCCAAGGAATGGATCCAACCCGGTCGCTACCACCCCTGCCACCACATCCTTAAACACCGTCATCAACAATAATAACATCACTAAGAAAAACAATAACAACAATAACTCAATTGGGCAACAACAAGCCCCCCAGCCGCCACCATGTGTAATTCGTGAGCAAGACCAGTACATGCCTATTGCAAATGTGATTCGGATCATGCGTCGGATACTCCCTCCACATGCCAAGATCTCTGATGACGCCAAAGAGACCGTTCAGGAGTGTGTCTCTGAGTACATTAGCTTCATCACTGGGGAAGCTAATGAACGTTGCCACCGTGAGCAACGTAAGACGATCACTGCTGAGGATGTGATTTGGGCCATGGGAAAATTGGGCTTTGATAACTATGTTGAGCCCCTCACTCTCTTCCTGAGCCGTTATCGAGAGAGTGAGACCGACCGTACTTCAACNCACTAAGAAAAACAATAACAACAATAACTCAATTGGGCAACAACAAGCCCCCCAGCCGCCACCATGTGTAATTCGTGAGCAAGACCAGTACATGCCTATTGCAAATGTGATCCGGATCATGCGTCGGATACTCCCTCCACATGCCAAGATCTCTGATGACGCCAAAGAGACCGTTCAGGAGTGTGTCTCTGAGTACATTAGCTTCATCACTGGGGAAGCTAATGAACGTTGCCACCGTGAGCAACGTAAGACGATCACTGCTGAGGATGTGATTTGGGCCATGGGAAAATTGGGCTTCGATAACTATGTTGAGCCCCTCACTCTCTTCCTGAGCCGTTATCGAGAGAGTGAGACCGACCGTACTTCAACGCACAAGGAGCCCATTCTGAGGCATGGCATGATAGACTATGGGCCGATGGGGCTTTCTGGGCCTTATGGGCCAGTTTTTAACATGGGTCCCCAACAAGGATTCTTTGATCCTATGATTGGCGGATACTTTAGAGATGGGTCGGGTTCAGGTTCAGGTTCAGGTTCTACTGGTGGGTCCTCTTCTCAGGCTAATCTGCCTGCCTTCGACCCATTTTCCCAGTTCAAATGATTGTATGAGAAATTGACCAAATTGGGTTCTTAATAAAGAGTTTTAATTGTAACCATTTGATTATTATTGTACCTTGAAATTGTTTATAGAACTATTGAACTTTATTTGTGTTAAGTGTTTTGCAAGTAATAGCATGTCAATTGATCGTTGCCGGTTTTGCATCGGTCATAAATACAACGGACCAATGAAAGGGCACATTTATGCCATGGACACTGTTACGGCATATCCTCATTGACTGGTTGTATAAGCCACAGATAAACACAAGACTCAATTTCTTGAGCAGACTAAAAGAAGGCTTAGACATGGTTAAAATTTTATCCATTATTTGTGTGTACTGTGTACAAAGTTAAAAAATGAAGATCAATTGTCACTTGAGTTCAAATACAAATGCTTTTCTTTAATATAATCAATTACTTCATCCGTGGTAAGATATTTTATTGACAATCCTCTTGAAATGCAATCCCTGAAACACAAGAAGAAAAAAAGTATTAAGTCCCCTTAATCTTAGTTTTGTTAGTTCATAATCAGAGTACTATTTTGATTGTGAAGAATGGAAACTCGACTCACCTTAGTCTCGTTGAACTAATTTGGTTTGGTACAAGTTCATCCACGACCATGATGTTGGCCTATAAGAAAATAGGTCGAAACTCGATTAAACAAATCTTGGACGTGCTAGCATGCGATGAATGGTACGACAATAAAAACTATTATCAATGTATAGCGATTCAGAAGCTCCTGTCAGAACAAGGTTTTGAATTCTGAAAAGTTCATGATGATTGATGAATTGTTCAACATTTGGAATTGTAGACCAATAACACCATGACTTCTTTTCAAAGCTGACTAGGAATGAAGAGTATTAATTCATGACTTATGACCAAAATTAAGATCTTGCTCTAGTCAATTGACTTGAAATTCAGAAAACTTATAACTTGACATCCATGCTACTTCAAACCATCATATAGAAGTTTGACCAATTATTAGAAGGTACATCAATTAACATGGTAGAATATGGAGAAAAAATGTAAAGCAAACCTTGTTTTCATTCAAAATTTCATTGTCAGAGATGATTTTTTCAATGTCTTGTCCTTCTCTGCGTATACATGCCACACCATAATCTCCGCATATCATCCTTACCTGAAAAAACCAGAAATCGTATGGTTGACATTGGGTTGCAAGGATTAATAATAAAGTGAATATCAGCCTTTCTGTGTAAAAATAGGTTCAACTTATCTCTCATCTCAGTTGCCTTGAAGATAAACTATTAAACAATGAGCTTTCCAACTCACACATACATATAATGCAAGACTATTTACAACTTCTGGAAGATGATAGAATTTTCACATCCGTCTGGGTCTATTATCATTACTGGTACATTTATCTTATAGCATTTACAAGAAGACATGGAACAAGTAAATACCTGCTCAGGGATCCAAAATCCAGGAATGCTGAAGGATTGGAATAAATCAGAACCACAGACAAGAATGACCTTAAGGGACCCTACAAGAAGCAAAGAAAGCCATCATTTGGTTGCCTCATATAAACAAATAAAGCTCACACACATAAACAAGCATATAAAGTAGCATCTCATACTTCTTATTTGAGATTATATTACTATGTAGAATTATTCAGCTTCTCACCTCTAGTTATCAGCCCAGCCCCATTCAAACAGTTTTTTACTCTTGACAAAACAGTCAGAGTTCGCTGATAGGAATTCTGATTTGCCTGTGAGACAACTTGAAAAACCATAATATTAAAGGCAAAAACAATACATTAACAAGCATACCATAAATCAAGAAGATTCATCGCTTGAAATGTAACACTTGTGCACAAATGAAATGGGAGAGTAGGTACCTCCCATGGATCAACCATTATGAAGTCAGAAGTTTTGCAAGCCAGGTTACACAACTGTATCCGATGTTCAGCAGATATAAGGCCCTGTATAACATTCATGTCACTGCTTCAGTAAACTATATCCATTTATGGCCATAGAAAACAAGATAATATCTTAACATATCTTAACGCATTCATTCACGCGCAATGATGCTAATTCAAGGAGATAATAACAGAAAAAGTAACATATTTTGCCAAGTGACTTATAAAGAAGCATGAGGCAACAACTACTAAGATTATTGAGTATCAACATTCTGGTAATGTGAAAAACAAATTAACCACAATCTAATACATAGCAATGTTGCTGAACATGTCCCCGTAAACTTGAACTCCTACTGCAGAAGGCACCATATCTAATTCTCTTACAAGGCATGCAATCTTCAGCATAGGACATATGAATAATCACTTTAAATACTTATTTCAGTATGCTGCCAGAAAAGCTCACATACCCTTTTCTTATATGCATCATTAACAGGCGACATATAGCCTCCAATAACACAATAACCCGCTGAGTTCAGTGCATCTCTCGCCAGCTCTATCAATAAAAGTGAAATTGATCAAACTCGTATATACTTAAATACTTTCCAGTGGAGATCTACATACTAATATCCTATAAAATGAAGCAGGTCACCAATGAAATTAAAGCTAAAGTAAAAACCTTACCAAACATACGTAAGTGCATAACAGTTGGAGGATTGAAACTCCCAGTTGCCACTAAAACAACATAAGTTTTGTCCCTGATAATGAATTCTAATTAGCATAATTTCAATTCATCAACACCATTCTATAAAAATTATGAATTAAATAAAAAAAATATGAAACTTACTCGGTTATTAATTCCAAAGATAACTTATCCCGAGGCAGAGGGATGTCCATGGCACCTAAAAGCAACAGCTTTATTTATTTAAATTTACAGAAACAAGAGAACAAGCAAACTATATATGCGTGAAGGTTGGCTCGAGAAGACAAAGAGAACAACCGATAAAAGTCCAAACAATTTTCCAAGAAATACCCAGATGAAAAAAAATCAATGTGAACCCAAATTAGAAAAGTTTTCTTATGAGACTGTTGAATTGGGGAAAGACCGATGGAAAATGAAAAAAATATTGACTTTAGACCGTCAAATTCTTGACCGTGTCTATCAAAATTTAAAGGGATTTAAAAAAACAAATATAAATTTTAAAACTGAGAAGAGTTAAAAGATGAATCAAGATAGCTCCAGTCACTCAAATGAATTCAACATTGAAGCAAATAAGACGTGCTTGAAGATAGTTTTCTGCAAGTGGATGAGTTCGAGAAGATGACTGATGACGCGAAAGCTTGCAGACAGTTTCAGTGGGTTCGATTTTGAGATGATGACTGGAGTGACGCAAACAGAGACTGCTGTTAACGTAAATATCAAATACAGGGCCTAATTTCAGTTAAGGACACAATAAATTTTTACGAATAAAGTAGTCCCTATCAAATTTAAAAGCATCGGCCCATAAATCTAACTCAAACGAAAGTTAAGCCCAGTCCATCTCGTTCTGGCCCGGCCCATTATCAAAATTTCAAAATCTTTAAACGCGCTCAATTAAAATCAATCTCCACCGTGGATCAGAAAACACACGATTTCCCTCTCTCTCTCTGTTTCAAAACTCGGGGACTCGATTTGAACTACCGAATGGAGAAGAAAGCTTGAAGACGAAGAAGAAGAAGAAAAAGAAGAAACCCAAAAATGTCGGAGATGGAGACAATGTTTATGCAGATCTTCGAGAGGAAGAAACGGATCATTGACCAGGTCAAACAACGGACTCTTCTCTTCGATCAACACCTCGCCTCCAAATGTCTCCTTGAAGGAATTGCTCCTCCGCCGTGGCTCTTGTCCTCGTCATCCTCCGACGGTAATCTCAATCTCGCTTTTTTTTTTTTAAATTTCGGTCTCAAATTTCTTCCTTTTTGTTTTTTGTTTTTTTTTTTTAAGTTTTGAAAGATAAATTGAAACGAGATTTTTGCTCAAGGTAAGTTCGAATAGGCGAATTAGGTAATTTTTGTGATTAGATATTGGTGTTTGAGTTTTGATATTGCGAGGAATTTTGAGTTCAATTTTCCTGTTTCTTCGTGTTTTGTTTTTGTTCCTTTTGAATATCTAAAAGCTAAGTTAAAACTACTAGTGACTTTGAATAGCGAATTAGGTCATTTTTATATTAGATTTGTGTGTGAGTTTCGCTATTGAGGGCGAATTTCAATTAATTTTTTTTTTCGTTGTCTTTTATTTTTGTTTGGATATCTGAAAGCTCAATTCAAAGGATTAGTGATTTTGATTGTTACTGAGTTTGATTAGTTTTTTTTAGAAGTTCTCGAAGGTTTTTATTGTTAGTTGAACTTAAGTTGAAAAAACTGGTCATTTTATCTTTCGTCTCGAAGATGTATTGCTGCATTTTTTTGGCAATCAAAATAGAGTAGCCGATGGTTTGCACTGCCATATTGCATTAGTTTATTTGCATGATGAGAAGAAACTCACTTTGCTTTATTCATGTACAATCATTACTTTTATGCCATGGCAGAGTTGAATAAGGAGGAACTTATTTCAGGACTCTTAGTTCCACGCGTACCACAGCGAATTCCTTATTTGAGCAGTTACAACAAGCCAATTGTTACAGCTAGTAAGGGAGCTTTACCTGCTGGTTTGCACCCTTCAAACAAGGGCATTGATACAGCAGGAGATCGATTGTCTGTTTCCCTACAGTTTCCTGTAAATGATGCTGGAGGTGTTTCAAGTTGTGCTCAGAAGCAGGATTCTAGTGCTCCTGCCGCATCTCCACAGGATCAGAGAGATGCAAGAATCTCAAATGTTTATCCCAAGCCAGCTCAGTCATTTGAAAAGATTCAAAGATCTAAATTAGATTTACCTGGTAGTGTCTATGCAGAAGTTCGCTCCTCAAACAAAGCTGTTGATGCAGCACGAGATCGGCTGTCTGTTTCGCCACAGTTTCCTGTTATTGATGCTGGAGGAGCATCAAGTTGTGTACAGAAACGGGATTCTAGTATTCCTGCCTCATCTTCACAGGATCAGAGAGATGCAAGAATCTCTAATGTTTATCCTGAGCCAGCTCAGTCGTTAGAAAAGATTCAAAGACCTAAATCAGATTTACCTAGTAGTTTCTCTGCAGGAGTTCACCCTCCAAACAAAGCTGTTGATGCAGCACGAGATCGGTTGTCTGTTTCGCCGCAGTTTCCTGTTATTGATGCTCCTCCAACATCAAGTTGTGTACAGAAACGGGATTCTAGTATTCCTGCCTCTTCTCCACGGGCTCAGAGAGATGCAAGAATCTCTGATGTTTATCCTGAGCCAGCTCAGTCATTAGAAAAGATTCAAAGATTTAAATCAGATTTACCTAGTAGTTTCTCTGCAGGAGTTTACCCTTCAAACAAAGCTGTTGGTGAAGTACGAGATCGATTGTCTGTTTCGCCACAATTTCCTGTTATTGATACGAGGGGTGCCTCAAGTTGTGTTCAGAAGCCGGATTTGAGTTCTGTTGCTGCATCTCCACAGGATCAGAGAGATGCAAGAATCTCAAATGTTTCTCCCAAGCCAGTTCAGTCATTAGATAATTTTCAAAGATCTACATCAGAATTACCTGGTAGTTTCTGTGCAGAAGTTCAAACTTCAAACAAAGCTGTTGATGCAGCGCAAGATCAATTGTCTGTTTCGCCGCAGTTTCTTGTTATCGATGCCGGGGGTGCCTCGAGTTGTGTTCAGAAGCCGGATTCTAGCTCTGCTGCATCTCCGCAGGGTCAGAGAAATGGTAGAATGTCAGAGGTTTCTCCTGAGCCAGCTAAGTCGTTGGCCAAGATTCAAAGATCTAGGTCAAGGCAAAGGGCTCTAGAGCTTCGTCATAGTGCAAAATCAGTTAAAAGTCATTCACATGATGAGAATAAGACTAAAAATAATACATGTGACAGGAATAAGACTGAAAATGAGACTGTTGTTTTTGCTAGTGGAATTACAGGTTTTGAGATTGCTCCTGTACAGAATGACAATGTTCGTGAGTTGGAGCTGATTGAATCTGTTGGTATTAATAATGAAAACTGTGAGGTGGAAGAAGCAAAAGTTGGCGATTACCGCAGCAAGGAAAAAGGTATGGAGCTTTCATTAGTGTTTTATGTTGCCAGTTTTATTGCCTCCGTTTTTTTAATGGTCCAGTCTTTCTATTTTTCTTTGAAAACACTATTTCAATTTTATTTTTTTCCCTGGAAAGAAAGAAATTTTACTTTTTAATATGTCTAAGAAGCTTTTGGCATGTTTGATTATTACAAAAAGAGAAGTTCAAATTTTGTTGCTTTACTTTTTAGCATGTTGTGACATTGTCAATTTTTTTGCTTTGCTCTGACAACTAGTGATGGTGAGGGAGAAGAAGGGGCAGAAGAATAACACAGATAGATAATAGTGAATCAAGTCAATATCGGGAGATGGAGAGAATTTAGATAGTTAGAGAAAGAAATCAAGAACGGATAGCAAGAAACTCAAAAAACAAAAAAGAGAAAGACAAATGAATTCTTGATCCTAATTGAAGAATGAAACAATTAAATAAGGTTCAATTAAATAAGATTTAAATGAACTAAAACACTCAATCAAAGGGCAAAAAAATTCAAGAACTGGGCGTGCATGTCTCTTCACTTTTATATAATCGGTAGCAATTATATTTCCGTTGGATTTCTTTGACAATTTTAAGTTTTATTGCAGAGTTAAGTAAGGAGAAGCTTATCTCGGGACTCCTATTCCCAAGTCCACAACCTGCAAATTCCTATTCCAGTGATGACAATGTTCCCAAATATAAACCAGCTATTTTATATGAAAATGAGGAGTTACCTGATGGTTTATTCACTGAAGTTCATGCTTCAAGCAACAAAGGTCTTTTAGTAGCTGGACAGTCTGATTTGCATCAATTTCCTGTCAGTGATGCTGGATGTGCATCAAATGTCGTTCTCGAGCTAGATTCTAGTGTTATATCTCCTCAATCTCAGAGAAAGACAAGAGAATCAGACATTGACCTCGGACCATTGCAATCACTGGCAAGGGTTCAAAGATCAAAGTCAAGGCAACGGGCTTTAGAGCTTCGTGATAGTGCAAAAGCAGCTAAAAATTTCTGCGCTGAGAAGAATGTTAGCGTATATTCTAGTGTAGTTACTGGCTCTCAGATGGCTACGGTACAGGCTTACCAGGTTCACGAGTTAGAAATGGTAAAAACTGTTGATTTTGAAAAAGAAAGTTCTAAAGTTGAAGAAGCTCAAGTATCTTGTTTCCAGAGCAAGGAAAAGAGTAGCAATATATATTCTGGTAGGATTACCAGATCCAGAAGTTCTGGCCAACAATCTAGCTCTATAAAGGAGTTCTCACATGTAGGTAGACACACATATATTGGGAGATCTAGTAGGAGCAACAATGATATAGGTACTGCCAAATCAAGTGAACAGCAGATTGAAGAGAATTCCCCTTTGTCAGGAAAAGTTGGAGGTCGACTAACCAACACTATGTCTGGTTCATTAAGCTTGAATGTAAAGCCACTTCAGTATATTTACCCGTTTTTTCAATATTAGATACTTGAGTTTTGCAGAAGATTATCTAATGCTGGATTTAAAATGTCATTGCTTTTGTTTTTTTCAGGAAGATGAAACTGCGAAATCAAATGTCAATCGAAGTCCAGCTAATGATCATGTCGAAACTTGCTTGACTGGGGGATCTAAATCATCTCCTGTTTGGATTTCTTCCGTACAACTTGAACATTTTAACGGTTTGGAATTGGTTAAGCCAGTTGAGAGCTATCATGAAAGATCTTTGGTGGAAGAACCAAAAGTAGGTGATTTACAGGGCAAGGAGAAAGGTAGCGATGTTTATTCTCGTAGAATTACAAGATCTCAAAGTTCTAGCCAGCAAGCCAGTTTTAAAAGGGGCTCAGTGAATGTGAATATTGATGACCAGACTGCTAGTTCTTCTAAATCAAGAGGCCCGATCAAAAAGAAGTCTGTACTGTCAACAGAAAGTTCTAAATCAGGAGTTGAAGGTTCATTGCCTCAGTCTAAGCGAAGAAAGGTTAATAATCGACTAAACGACTCCCTGTCTGCTTCACCGAGCTTGAGGGTAATTCATTTGTGTATTCACTTGAAATTGGAACTCAAATTTTGTTGAACATAACATAAAAATTTAAACTTTTTTCTATATCTCAGGTGGGCGGTGATGTGAAATCAAGTGTCAGTTATAGCCTAGTTGAATTGAATCAAAATGGGGATTGCCACATGCTTGGGGAATCTCATTCTTCACCTAAGCTGCAAGTTTCTGAGGTACTTGATTTTCCGTTCTACTTTCGCTGGACCTTTAGGTTATTAGAAATTTA